TTAAAATTTAATAATAATAATAATAATAATAATAATATAATTCTTGTAATCTGTGTTATGTAAATCCAGTTTCAACTCAGTCTCTGTCTTATCAGGTAAATTTTTTGCCTCTTCTATAATGTCTTTTGACACCCCCTCCCTAGACATTTATCAGCCCCTTGAATAGTCCCATCAAACTGTTGGTAGAAATTCTAGCCCACTGAATAACACCAAACAGCAAGTTGAAATTAGACAGAGATTTATTGGCTACAACGGTTTGCAAAGCATGGTGGACTCCAAATAAATATTTGAGCCACACCTGGTCACAGTAAAAACATACATTATATACATTCTATCCCGACACCTTGGCCCCTCCTCTGAGGTTACAATCTTATCAGGATCGCCTAAACAAAATACATTATCCCTGCCCCTTACTATTTTGCTTCACCTATTCCCATATATGTATATGAAATCCTATAGCTCAGTGTGGAAATCCTATAGCCTATGTGCAGAACTCTTACAAGGTACATGTACATGTAGAAATTATGTAGAAATCTTGCAGTAGAAATTTTGTGTAGAAATCTTTCTGTCTGCGTGTAGAAATTTTACAGAGTACGTGTCACTTAACTTTACTTTTTATTCTAAAATTTTATTCCTAACAAAACTTTGGTGGTCAATACTGAGCTGGGCTGGATGGAGCAAAACATATATAAGTTTATAGTGGGATGATGGCAGCAAATACTGTGTGGTTGCCATTTCTCCACTTAATCTTGTTGAGTTCATACTTTTTCCTCTTCCATGGCCTCATATAGTGATCAGCTAATACCTGAGAAAATAGAAGTACTATTCAAATAATCTTGATACATTGGAGGGAAAGGCTCAAAGAGATTCAGGGACACAGTGAAATTTAACAGAGGAAAAGGTGAATGCATAGGTGTAGGATAGGAAATACCCGGCATGGTAATGGAGAAAATGTTGATATAGCGCTGTGAGGATAACCTTGAGAAACAGGAAGAAGAGTTGCAACTAAGATTCTGTTACTGTAACCTTATAATAAAAATATTAGTTTTCACAACTTTGGTTTCCTGGTCTAGAATAGATTACCTCAAAAGGTTGAGTCTTGGAATAGTAGTTGGTTGCAAATAAATTAGCCAGCAGTATGATATGCCAGCTTAAAAGGCAAGTACAATTTTAAGCAGCATTAACAGAAATATACTGTCTAAATATACAGGAAGTAATTTTTCAACTCTCTTCTACATTGTTCAGCTCTCCACCTTGCATACTGTAGAAACAGCAAAGAAATGTGTGCAGATCACGGTTCAAATGTTGTACTGATTCTTACATACAGTACTTGTTGGTTTCTGGATGTTTATTAAGGGAAGATGTATTCAGGACTATTTGCTTCCAATAGTTTGTTATTATAACATTTTAATTCAAGCCAAATCCAAGATTGCAAGAAAATTCCTGGGATTCTGATAGACCAGCCATTAACAGATACTGAGAGATAACCCAGGCTAGAAGGGGGAAATCCAACACAATGGGCAAGAACCATCTAAGATGAAACAGTTCAATTAACTAAACTAGATGGCCTAATCAGAAATAGACACAAAAACTCCCAACAGCCATATATAAAAAGCCAGTAAACAACCTTGTATCAAAGCACTGACAATGTTACTCAGCTTGGTCATGAAACATTTGCAGGAAGACATTCAAGCTCAGTAAAGACCAGGATCCCAACACTAGAATCCTGTATCCAGGTCTGGATAGCACAATTTAAAAATGAGTCACAGAAACTGGAACAGGAGCAGAGAAAGGCAACAAGGTGATCCTGGGATTAGAAAGTAACTCCTGTGAAAAGAGATTGAAGGAGGTTGTTATGCTTTGCCTTGGGAAAAGACAACCGAGTAGGGACACAACTGCATTCTTCAAATACTGGAAATAGTATTATGTATCACACAGGACGTTCTTCATTGTAGAGTGCAGGACATAGAATAAAGGATTTCAATCACAGGGAGACAGATCCTGATTGCATGTTAGGAAAACAAATATCCTTAACAGTAGCAGCAATTACTCAAGGTAGTTGTGGGGGGGGGCTCCCTTACCTCTGATGCTTTTAGTACGAAGCTATGCCGCCATCTGTCAGGAATGCTGGGATTTGGATTCAACTTGTTAAGAGGTTGAACTAAGTGGCTTAAGTGCCCTCTTCTAACCCTGTGATTCTGTTGGTATCTGCTTAGTTGAAGATTTGGCAAGCCTTTTATGTACCAGATAGCTTAACACTCAGTATAAGTCCCAGAGTCCCTGTGAAACTCCTGATTATTTAGGTTTCTGTCTTGGTTATGAGGCAAAGGGCAATTCCACGTTCCAAGAAGTGCAGTTATATATAGCTGCATCGTTAAAATAATTGATCAAATATGTATCTTTTACATTATCTATCTATCTATCTATCTATCTATCTATCTATCTATCTATCTATCTATCATCTACTATCCATCCATTGATCCATTATCTATCTATCCTTACTATTCTTTTAAAGTCTATTGTTGCTGTCAGCATCCAACTAGACAGCTCTTAATCAGAATTTGATGGTTATGGAAAAATTCTAGTAGCTTGAATGTCATGGATTTAGGCAGTACAAACCACAAGATAAATAGCTGAAATCCAGGACACAATTATTTTCCTGAGCTTTTAGAGAGGAATTTAGAAGTGGCCAGTTCTTTGCTTTTGAAAATATGACTAGACTACCCGTGACCCCTTCGGTCCTCATTTCAGGGATATTTCCTTGCTGGATTCCTCAATGCTTTCAACAATGGCAGAGCTTCTAATATACTTGAAAAGTTCCTAAAAATTCAGGGAGATATTTAGATATGTGCCTGTCTTGAACTGATCTGTATAGCACAAACTAGAAATGTTTTATGACATTTTGTACCATGTCATAAAATGCTTATGATAATTTTTGTCACAAAATGTTTTATAAAATCTGCCAAATTTCAATTCCACAGGAGACAGGGGTCCCAGATTTTTGACACATTCCGTACGTTAGCCCATTTGAGGTATCTTGGTTGAAAAGGTTTTGCCCTATGTTCATTCTTTCACCCCTGTTTTGCAAGTGTGCATAGTTTCCTCATGTTTCCTACTCAGAAAAGCAGAACATTGGTGCCCATTTTTGGCAATGGCTGTAGAAAAGGAGGATTCAGTCCCTAATCATTCAGCCCCAAAGCAGACTTTACAATCCTGGCCCTGCTCTACTTGCATCATTGCGCCGCTTAAGACTGCTGTGCCTTCTGCATAAAAAAGCTACCTGCCTCTTCTTTAGACAAAGAGGAAAACAACATTCAAACATTCCTTTCACTTCTCCTTTTCTTTTGTTTCACAAACAGCATTTTGTGCTATCTAGTTATTTTCTAATTATCCACAAGGGGATTAGTATTTAGTGATGAACTGTTGGAATCTACACATTACTTCCTATCATTTTGTAATTTGGGGATTATTTCTGACACAAGGCTTTTAAGCATACCTTGCACTGATCCATGAAATCTGAAACTCTTGAACATGCTGTGATGTTTTAGGCCAGGACATTGTACAATAAATTACTAAAATAAAGGGCAATGCAGCAAAATGAAAAATGAAGATTTACTAGAAAGAGAAGACTGTAACTCTGGGTACAAATCTTTAAAAGGATTTCTGATAAACAGCCTTCTATTGTAAAAAAAAATAAAAATACAACCCTGGAATTAAATGAAATTCTGCTCCTCTATTTGCTTTTAAGGTATGGTTCTCAGTGATAGGTTCGCACATAACACTTTGTTGTGCTTTTTAACTATGATTTGATGAATCAATTAACAGGGCTTATTTCTCCTTAATTTTTAGATTGGATCCCTGTTTGACAATGTCCCATCCATTACTTCTTGTCTTGCCTTCTCTTCGTTAGACTAGACCAGGGGTAGGCCACTTGGCTCTTTTATGATTCGTGGACTTCAACTCCCGGGAATTCTGGGAGTTGAAGTCCACGAGTCATAAAAGAGCCAAGGTTGCCTATCCCTGGACTAGACATACCCAGTTCTTGCAACCATTTGTTATATGGTTCTTCCTGTTTTCGCCTCCAGTCCCCGATTTTTGTTGCTCTTCTCTGCACTCTTTCTAAAAAAGTCTCAACATCTTTTATTATGACCAGACTTGGACACAATATTCCAAGTGTGGTCTTACAAAGGCACTTGATTCAAACATCAGTTACCATCTTCACTTTTTGATACCCTATAGACACTTCTAATCTCTGGTCACAGGCATGACCAAACAATGTTTAAAGATCCAGCTGAATTTTATCTTTAGAAGCAAAATGCTTTCATTTTTCCTAGGTTTGTTGCACTGACTTCATTCTGGTATGAAGAAGTGGATCTACACTTACAGAAAAATATGAAGGCGTATTCTCCCCCCCCCCACATTCACAAAATTGTTTCTAGAATGCAAAATTAAAATAAATCTTGGAGGAAAAGTCTTTTAATGACTATTAGCCAGGATGGCTTTATAGAGTCTTCAGCTTTAGGAACAATGTGCCCCTGGATGCCAGTTCTTGACAAAAATAGTTGTTGCTTCATGTCTTTTTTTGTGGATTTCTCGGAAACTAATTTATCTAGCTAGGCTTTTAGAAGGATGCTTCTTCTGCAGTAAAGCTGTAATTGCTTTCATCTCTCTTGCTGTTGCCTGATTTCTGCCCTTTGGGACCATTTCCAATTTTGGATAATGGCCATGTTTGACATTTCAGTATCAACATCTCTGCAATATCGTGCATCAATTCTACCCAGCTCTTACTATCTGAACCAGCATTTCTCATCCTCAGCAACTTTTAAGATGTGTGGACTTCAACTCCCAGAATTCCTCAGCCAGTGTGCCTGGCTGGGGAATTCTGGGAGTTGAAGTCCATGTATCTTAAAAGTTGCTAAGGTTGAGAAACGCTGGTCTAAACTAATAGCCAGCATTTTCTAGCTTCTAGTTTCTGCTTTAAACAGACAAAGAAAACAAGGTAATGTTGCAAAAAGCACAGCCACTTTGGGTCTTTATTTTCCCACAAATGTAAGCCACTCCGGTTGGGACAGGTCATGTGAAACTTAAACACCAGTGTTAACTACCTTATCCGATCCATTCTTAGACCATCTTTCTTTGTTTTAGCCTGCAAGCTTTGAAAGGAGAGCCCTACATTACCATGTGTGAAACACTGAAAATAAGAATAGCATAAAAAAACAACAACCGAAAAGCTTTTAAGTACTGCCAGACTGACTTTCCCAGGGCAGGAAGTTAGCAGTCTCAAAAGGAAGTCACGGGGCAGTGTTGTGTTTTGAGATACATTGGAGGTGGTGAGCAGGGTGATGCTGATACTGTATATCAAAGAGATGCTGAGAAGGAATGGCTGTAAGAATCAGTGCTCCGTGTAGTAGTTGGAGCTGGGCCATGCTAAGCCGAAAAGCGGTGCTGCTTTAAGCACACGGACAGGGGAAATAAGTAGGAGTACACGATGGGGGAATCATTGGCAAGTGTTGTAAATTTGGATTTGCTCATTGATGTCTTTTAAGATGCTTCTCATCTTGGCTTCCAGCCCATCCAGCTGGGCTGCCTTCACTTGTAGCAGCCTCTCATTCTCTTCATAGGTTTCTTCCAGCTCTGAGTAAGGGAGGAGGGGAAAAAGGGGTTAAAGATAAGAGAAATTCAGACAGTATACAGAAAAAAAAACACTTCACTCACGGTGCAAGCACAGTTCTGAATCTAATATCCAAACTGCTAGTTCGACGTTAACTTTGTCTGAAAATCCAGACAAAAAGCCTGCAGTGGGCATTCATTGCCTCTACCCGAGATACAGATAGTCCTTGACTTACAACTACAGTTGAGCCCAAAATTTCTGTTGCTAAACAAGGCCGTTGTTAAGTGAGTCACGATCTATTTGATCACCTTTCTTGCCATGGTTGTTAAGTGAATCACTGCAGTTGTTAAGTGAATCATGCAGTCGTTAAGTGGGTCCAGTTTCCCTCATTTACTTTGCTTGTCAGAAGCTGGCTGGGGAGTCTCCAACGGCTGGAGACCCAGGGACACATTAAAAACGTAAATCCGCATTGTTTATTCTGATGCAGACACAGAGAGAGGTCTTAGGCCAGTGGTGGCGAACCTATGGCATGCATGCCAGAGACGGCACTCAGAGCCCTCTCTGTGGGCATGCGTGCCATCGCTCCAGCCCCGCCTCCCCCTTAGCCCTCTCCTTCCCAGCAGCCCCCCCCCCGGAGGAGATTCGCCCCCGGGCGCGGCCCATGTGGAGCAGCGCAGCCAAGAACATGGCAGCCGGGCAGCAGGGACAAGACTCCGCCCTCACGCCCCGTCACGCGCAGATGATGCTGTGGGGCACGGGCGGAAGGTGTGGCCGCCATGGCGCTGCAGGGCCGCCTGGGCGATCTGCAGCGGGCCATGGAGGCGGTGGTAGCCCTGCGAGTGGGTGGGGGTGGGGCAGAGCGGGGGCAGGTCAGGGGGTGGGGCGGTTTTTGAGCACTTGGTCTCTAAAAGGTTCGCCATCACTGTCTTAGGCACTTACTGCTCAGCCGGCGTAGTTTTTCGTGAGCATCGCGCAGAAGTCCTTTGGCCTCATCTCGCAGGTGCTCTGCTTTCTTTCGGGCCCCCACTACATGCTGGGCTTTTCGATCCACCAACTCCTGCATGGTGCGGTATTGATCACCCAGCGGTCCCTGCAGTACCTGCAGAAAACACCAGCAGGCAATAGAGGTAGTGCTCGACTTACGAGTATAATTGAACCTCACAATTATGGTTAAGTTGGTTGTAAAGCGGGTCACCACATGCCCATTTTGCAACCTTTTTGGGGGAGGGTCATTCAGCAAATGCAGAGGTCATAAATGCTCCAGCGATTCATCAAGCATTGTGGTTGGGTTGCTATGTGAACCCACTATTGGCTATCGGCGGGTTTTTGGTGAAAAACGGAAGTAAACGCCAGGAACGAGGGAGTGAAGAGGTGATCTTGCCTCTTGGACTTTGATTTTTTAAAGGGCCTTCCAATTGAAAGGTTTCACGTAAATGAGATGCTACACAGGAGAGGCTGAAGGCTATGAACAGGATAGTGTTCTAAAGCTTTCCAGAGCAGCGTTTCTCAGCCTTGGCCACTTGGAAGTGTGTGGACTTCAATTCCCAGAAGTCCCCAGCCAGCATGTTGGCTGCAGAATTCGGGATGTTAAAAGTCCAAACATCTTAAAGCTGCCAAAGTTGAGAAACACTGTTCCAGAGGAACAGAGGATGCTGAGAGTTGTAGTTTTTCAGATATCGATGAAATATAACTTCCCCATCAATGGGCTACAGGGAGGATGAATATCACCTTTGTTTGTTCCTGCCAGAGACTTCAGTGCACAACCCCCCATGCAATTCCTAATAAAAATTCATTTTCATGGATGATGACATCTTGGCCCTGGCCACTGACACAATTAAAAGTATTAAGAGCCATGGTGATGGAGCAAGGGTTAAAATGCAGTATGGCAGGCAAAATCTGCCCACAGCTTGGAGTTTGATCCTGACAGAGCTCAAGGTTGTTTCAGCATTTCATCCTTCCGAGATCAGTAATATGAGGACCCAAATTGTTAGGGGCAATATGCAAATAATGCTTACATTGTAAACTGCCCAGAGAGTGCTGTAAAGCACTATGAGGCAGTATACAAGTCTAAATGCTATTACTATTTTTGCTACCAGCTTCATATGTTAGTATCCGATCACTAACTAGCTGACCATTTCATGGTTCTGAGGGAAAATCTTTGGGAGAACAAACTGCAATAAAGTTTGGATAACACCTGATAAAATACAGGCAACTTGTGTGTTACAGTTTTCTTGGAATGTGTCAGTCAGGACATATTTGTAATATTTCACTTGAGGTCGGAATAAAATTAGCAAGCCTGAATCTCTGAAGAGACCGAGACAAAAATGAAATACAGTGAATCTATGAAGATATATTATGTCCTAAAACAAAGAAACAACGAGGGTATCATTTTTAATGAGAAATGTCTGATTTGGGTTATTTATTATGAACTCCCTGATCTGTATGAAAAGGGCACAAATATTTTAGAATTAAAAGTAACCAGTTAAGACTTCAACAGGCTGAGTTATGGCTCTGGACCAAGCAAAGTAAAGATATTTGAAATCCCAACAATGGTTCATTTTTGCCAGAATCCTACCTGTTCAGCTTCCTCAGCTCGGTTCTTGGCAGCACTCGCTGTCTCTTCTGCTCGTGTGGCTGTCAAGATGTTGTTGGCCCGCTTCATCTTGAGAACATCCACCTGCCTGTCAAGATGGCCCACCCGTTTCTTGGCTGCAGCCAACTCAACCTCAGCATTTGCAGTCTTCCTGTTAATCTGGTGGAATGAGGTAGATAAGAGGGGGGACAGGAAAAATGTGCATGGAGGTCCACGTGGTGGAAACTTCTGCATGTCCAATCTAGGCTGCTTGCCAATCCTGAGGGAGTCCTTGGTTCACCACGGAGCTCCAGGAGATGAAGTGGCAGAAGTGATACTTAGATACAATAAGTGAAGTCAGCCAAACATAGATACAAGCCTATATAATGGTGATAAGGAGGGTGAAGGGCTGGTACTTCACCTCATTGTGTTGGTGTGCATTTGGCCAGTAGTCTTGTTTGGGGGAGGGGAGCAATTCCCTCTTGAGCAGAAAACCAGCCATAGGTCACTTTTTTCAATGCTGTTGTAAACTTCAAATGGTCACTAAGCAAATGGTTGTAAGTTGAGGGCTACCTATAATGCTATATTGCAAACCTGGAACAGCCAGCATTTTGGTTGACGTGGACGGAAATCTGGAAGACGTATTTAGGTTTCAATAGGTCCTTAACTGATTCATTATATGCCATCAAATTGGTGTGGGCTCTTAGTGGCCATACAGACTGATTCTCCAGGACAATCTGTCCACAATCTGTCCTATCACTTTGCTGCTGGTTCTCATCTTTTTCCTTTTCATCTTTCTCAGCATTAAGGCTCTTTGCATGATACGATAATCTGAGCTTGGTCATATGTGCCTCCAGTGGAAATTGAAATTGATATGTTCAATGATACATTCATTCATTTTCTGGGTTATCCATGGTGTTCTCAGGAATCTTTTGATGTTGTAAGCCAGAGGTCCCCAACCTGTGGGCCGTGGCCCACTACTGGTCTGTGGCCTGGTCCATAGCACTCACCCCCCCACTTGCACTAGCATCGCCCCGAGGATTGCATGGGCACTAACGTCGCCATGAGGGTCATGCAGGCACTAGCGTTGCCATGAGGGTTGCCACTAGGTCGCCCCAAGAGTCATGCGGGTGCTAGTGTCGCTGCAAGGGTTGCAGGCGCTAGCACCACTGCGATCGTCTCACATGCACTCACGGCCCCATTTGCGTTACGCATATGCTTGCAGCCCTGTTGCAGTATGTGCGTGCGGCTCCGTCAGCATGTGCGCATGCGTGCGTACAGGTGCCTGCCCCTCCCTTTCCTTCCAGGCCGCCAACCAAGAAAGGTTGGGGATCTCTGATGTAAGACACCCAGAGCCTCCTTGAGGCAAGATGGGGGGGGGGAATAAATTTAATACATAAAATCTTTTCCAACCAGGGAATTCAAAAGTGCTAAGACACAAAGCATGATTAAGCCCCAATACCAAGGCAAAATACAAAATGGCTATGTAGCTAGAAAGAACTACGCAAGCATATTTAGTGCTGCTTCACAGACTAAAAGCAAATGTATTAAACTGCTGTCAGGATGTGTTCTCGGTTTCAGGAAAGTGGTTTGGAAGTTTGATTGGTTGCCCTCAGGCCTTGAAACCTTTCTTTCAAAGGCTTCCAGAGCCGCCAGGTTGCACTGCCAAAATCTGATGGTGAACTGCTGAGCGGCAAATTTGATGGTGAAGTGCTGAGCAACAGTGGTGCAATTTCATGTCAATTTTCATCAAGGAATAAAAAGAAAAGCTTGATGTGTTAAGAGACCTGGATGTGGAAAATCACAAAGTAGAAAAAACTAAATGATGCCCTTCAGTGTCATAATCGTTCTGCCGCTAATCGTTGCATTACTGTAACCACAGGAGAGGTATTTATACTAGGTATACCTTAGCTGACACATCTAGTGCAACATATGGACGTGTTATTTGCTTTGGGCTGATAAAAAAAATAATTCATTATGGTGCCTTACCTCATTAACAACTGTGTTAGTATGTTGAATGTCACTGTCTGCAGAATTGATGGCTTTTTCGGCAGCACTTTGGGCCCGTTTGGCATCATCCAGAGCCCTTTTCACTGCTTCAGCTGCATTTTTAACACTCTCTGCCCGAGCGCTGGGGAGGAAAAATTCTGTAAGAATGAATAGAAACCCTAACCCATCGGCAACTTCGATGGTGTAAGAATCAGCATCAAATGGGAAGTCACAGATCTACCGATATTAGTGACCATGATCACTAAACGAAATCTTCCCATTTTAGTGCTGTGTACAGGTAGTCCTTGACTTAACGGCTGTAATTGAGTCCCAAATTACAGTCCCAAGTTGTGCCGGTCTTTAGGCGGGTCACCACGTGAGCATGCCTGATTTTACGTCAGCTTTTGTGGCAGTCATTAAATGAATTATCACAGCTGTTAAGTGAATGCCCAGGTTGTTAAATGAGCACAGCACTTGTTAAAGGAATACATTGTCCACAATGTGAATCTGTTTTGCCAGAAACCAGAACTAAACATTAATTTCCAGAAAGTAAGGAAAGAAAGAAAAAAAGAAAGAAAAGAAAAAGGAAGGAAGAGAGAGAGAGAGAGAGAGAGAGAGAGAGAGAGAGAGAGAGAGAGAGAGAAAGTAAGTAAGTAAGTAAGTACCGTATATACCGGCGTATTAGGCGACCCGGCGTATAAGACGACCCCTGTCTTTGTCGCCGAGCCGCATTCCTAGAACATCGTCTTATACGCCAGAAACTACCAGCATTTCCGGCGTATAAGACGACTCGGCATATAAGACGACCCCCGTCTTTGGCGCCGATTTTAGCGCTTGCAGAAGTCGCCTTATACGCCAGCATATACGGTAAGTAAGTCATGGTCACATGATCAAATGGATGTTAATGTGAGCTGGTTGCCAAGCATTCAAAACGTGATCATGTGACTGCATGGTGGTGGTGGTGAAGGCCACCAGAACTTCAAATCTAAGCCACAAGAGGCCCTGAAGAGGTCCTCCGTAACTTTAAATGGATTCTAAGAGACCAGCTATAAGTCAAGGATTACCTGTATCTCAGATCATAAGACACGATATAAAGCATACCTACACTATGATTGCTTGTGAATTTCCCAGACCGTTTAGATGAGATGCTATAGTTTTCGGCCAGATCAAGCAATATTGGAGCACACTTCAATCCAGTGGAAAGGAGAGGCCCATGGAAAGGCAGCTCCAATTTCTGACATGTAACATGTTCAACTGCTGTGCAAACATCCTCCAGAAATTGATCAGAATCCAAGTAAAAAAGAGATTTAGCTCTGCTTCTCCTGAGCTCCCTCTCTTCTCCCTGCCATACTTACTTGGCCCGGCGTGCGTCCTGTAGTAGCTGCCCTGCGATGCGGACGTCCCCTGCTGTCTGATCCAGAATTGCATCCACATTGGCTAGGCTGCTGACCCGCTCCTTGATCTCCTCAGCAAGATGGTGGATCTGCACAGGGGATGCTGGGATGGAGAGCTCCAGCACACGGGAAGCCACCAGCGCAATGCTGTCGGGATCTGCCCCCTCGACTGTATGCAGGATGGATCCATTAGAGCTGTGGAAAAGTAAATGGCAGCCCCCTCCTGGCTATCCACAGGACTCCATCTTAAAGGGGCCTCTGCCTGAAGTCTGTGGTCTTCCGTCCCAATGTGAATGCTCTCCCAAAGTCCCCCAGAGTAACCTATTCTATACATTTCCTCACGGAGATATTTTCTTTTCAAATTTATGAGACAATTTAGATCAGTGTTTCTCAACCTTGACAATTTTAAGGCATGTGGACTTCAACTCCCAGAATTCCACAGCCAGCAATGCTGGCTGTGGAATTCTGGGAGTTGAAGTCCACATGCCTTAAAATTGTCAAGGTTGAGAAACACTGATTTAGATGCTTTGCTGATCCAATTCAGGACCCAATCTTTACCCCTTCATTTGGAGGGGAGAGGGGGGCAAAGCAAAAGGGTCATTGGCTCTGGGCCTCTCAAGTGTAGAGAGAACTCCATTTTAGACGACTGCTTTTTTTATTCTGTTTGAAAACAGGTCAACGACGTCTCGTCTTTTGTTCTTTTGGTGCTCTGCAAGGGGGTCAAGATCAGTGGCAGGCACACGGATGTTGCAAGCCTTTGATCTCAATGTTGTGCTCGGTACTTGCACATTTTCACCATCACTGCCTCCCCTCCCGCCAATACTTTTGTTCTGTTTCCATACGTTTTTATTATTTTTGGCTGAAGCCCTCAGGAATTGGGAATGGCCTGAACCTCCCCAGATCCTTGAACAGATCTGATTGTGATGCTGGATTCAGAGAGGGAGATGGTTGCTGCGGTTGCAGCAGCACTACGAGGTAGCCAATCTATACGTTTGGTTAACCATTATTGCAGCTGTAAACCAATATATCAGGAGGACATCAGGTTGGGAAGACTGCCCAAGGTGATTGGTTTTTAGAAACTGGGAGAGGAGAGAGAGATTCCCAGGAAAATAAAAAGTTAATTCAGGCATGTCTGGAGAAAAGCCTGGAGGAATTTGGGATACATTCAGGAACAGTGACCTGTTTCTCTATTTCTGTCATTCCTAAATCTTAAGAGTTGCCCTGCTGGGGAGATGGGCAACATATACATTTAGTACATTTAATAATAAATAAACAAATAAACACATCTTCATATACTTTCTACTTCTAGTTTCCCAGAATTATCAGTTTTTTGAAGCAGAATGAGTCAATGTATGAACATTCATGACCACATTTTGAATCCCAACATTTAAAAAAACATTTAGTAGTAGTAGTAGTAGTAATAATAATAATAATAATAATAATAATAATAATAATAATAATAAATGATAAAAATTAAACTGCTCTGGGACTTCAGAATTCAAACAGACAAGCACCTGCAACATAACACCCCAGACTGGCACGCACGCTGTTGCCCCAGTCCTAGGCCTTCAGCTGGGTTTTATAAAACCTTTTTGCTTTAGGCCTCTGCCGCCATGTACAAAAAAAAAAAAAAAAAGTTCAATCAATCAGTCAATTTCAACTTCTTGTGGGGAAAAAAAAGATATTGCAAAGTTGGAATTGATTGATTGAACTTTTTAGTTCCACCCAATCTGCTGTTACCACTGCTGCCATGCCGACCCAATGGGCCACACCCACCCAACGGGCCATACTCACCCGGCACCCGATGATGCATAAGTGGGTTTTGAGTTGCAGTTTGGGCACTCGGTCTCTAAAAGGTTCGCCATCACTGATCAGGCCTTGCCTTTTGTCTAGGACAGGGGTAGGCAAACTGGGCTCTTTTATGACTCGTGGACTTCAACTCCCAGAATTCCTGAGCCAGCATGGCTCAGCTTGGAAACCCCTCTCTTTCCCTTCAGCATGGCTGGCTCAGAAATTCTGGGAGTTGAAGTCCACGAGTCATAAAAGAGCCAAGGTTGCCTGCCCCTGGTCTAGGACTTCAAAGTGTAATATATTCCCTTTCCACAACAACAATCCTGTGAGATAACTTGGCCAAATGATTGTGAATGGAGATTCTAGGGTAGAGAGGGTAGATTTGAACCAGGGTTTGTCTCCCCTGCCCCTGGTGAGCACTTTAACCATGAACCTCATTGGCTCTCCCACAGTCCTGCTGTTTTCTGGTAGGCTCTCATCCAAGCTTTAACCACAACTGGGCCTGTTTAACTTTTCAAAGATGGCTAGCTGTTATCACTTAACTGGGCTAGGGAAGAGGTCAGAAAGTTGAATGATCCTGAGGGCACGAAGGTCTGGGTTTTCTTTTATTACATCTTTCCATTTTATTTTATACTTATTAGATATTCTTGAACATTTTGGACTATACTCGGAATGTTTTACACAACTTTTCTTAAAAGACAACCCATTGGTGGAGGGCAGAATATACTTTTAATAAAATACAGCAAAAACAGAAGAGAAGGGGGAGGTCTAGCAGCTCTCGTACTTACGATTCAGGAATTCTTTGACTTGCTGGATAAGGTCACGCAGCGCCTTATTTGAGTGCTCCAGCCGAGCTTTGGTGGCATTGGCGTGATCCAAAGCTGCCTGCGCCCTCTGCTTTGCTTCAGCCGCCCGGGCCTTCGCGTTGGAGACCTGTCCAAAAAGACATCCGAGGGCCTGGTCAACCAGCAGGGGGCAGCAGACGCGCGGGGATAAGGAAGTCGCTGCAGCTCCCCAGAATTAATTCATTCTGCTTCCCAAAATGAAAGGAATCCCCGTCGGGATCATCTGATGTGACGTGAAAGGCACAGAATTGAAATGTTCTTGGATTTGCCCTATCCAAATGTCAAGCAACCCACCCTCCCTACCTGATGCAGCAGACTTTCCACTTCAGAGACTGCATGGTGCAGCTCCTCCTCGACATGGCGGGCTCGGTCCAGTGCGTTGTCAGCTGTGGCCACTGCTCCATCGCAGTGAAGGCCTCCACAGTGACGTCTGCCATCCTCGTCATAGCAACCAGCTCCTCCACAGGAATTGATGGCACAGGGAGTGTCTCCCTGAGCCCCACAGACCTAAGAGAGAGGGGCAGGCAGAGTTAACTGCTGAAGCTGCAGGGTCTTTCACTTTATCCCCCCTCCCCCCCTGTGCTTTTTATAACAGCTCCTCTCAGACTGTTCTTCCCCCTCAACTGACACTGGCAATTTGCATAAATCTTGATATATATATTTTTTTACTCCATTATGCACGCAAGAGGTTTATGGCACCCTATGGGCAAATAAATAAACTTTCAGGGAACACAGTCTACTTGATTAGTTGCATTTCTGAAAAAAAGAGAGTGGATTTACTGGTATTCATATTTATTTATAGAAACACTGCTCAGAGTTACTGTTGGGGAGGGAGCAGAGAAAGGGAAAGGAAATAATTAAAGGAGAGGTGGGAAACAGTTCTTCCAAGAGAAAAGCAGTTCCATGTGACAGATATTCTTGCACCGATAAGCAACCCCTTCTTTGTTTCACACATGAGAAACGGTGCTAAATCTTGTCATGAACTTCAACTCTGCTACTGTCGAGCTCCCCGAATCTGACAAACCAAAGAAACAAAAACCACGTGGATTTTAATGTCATTCATTAAAAAGAATCCTGAAAACTGTTGACAGTAAACTCCCAGCCAGAATTACAATAAGTTAATTAAGGCAAGGATTTCTGGAAACACTTCTTCCCAAAACAGCTCACAGTTGGATGGTGAATTTATTTCAATTACAAGAGGCCCAAGTTCTCTGATGGCACCGGCACTGTTGCCCTGTTTTGAAAAGACAGCTTGATGTAATGGTGAAGGTGCTGACCTAGAAACCAGAAAACAGTGAGTTCTAGTCCCACCTTAGGCATGAAAACCAGCTGGGTAACTTTGGGTCAATCACCAGGAGGCCATGAGTTCTAGTCCAGTCTTAGGCATGAAAGCCAGTTCAGGGACGTTAGGACAATCACCAGGAAACTGTGAGTTTTAATCCTGCCTTAGGCATGAAATCTAGCTGGATGACTTTGGGCTGGTCATTCCCTCTCAGCCCAGCCCACCTCACAGGGTTATTATGGGGGAAAATAGGAGGAAGAAGGAGTATTAGGTATGTTTACTACCTTGAGTTACTTATACTCAAATACTTTGGCCACTTAATGAGAAGGAAGGACTCACTGGAGAAGGGCCTAATGCTGGGAAAGATTGAGGGCAATAGAAGAAAGGGACGACAGAGAATGAGGTGGCTGCATGGAGTCACTGAAGCAGTAGGTGTGAGCTTAAGTGGACTCCAGAAGATGGTAGGGGACAGGAAGGCCTGGAGGAACGTTGTCCATGGGGTCGCGATGGGTCGGACACGACTTCGCAACTAACAACAACAAAAATCAAATAAAATGAAAATAAATTCCAGCAGACTTTGGACATCCTGTTCTCATGCTCTCTCACCTTCTCGTTAATCTGATCCAGGCTCAGCCCTCGGGTGCGTGTCGAGAGGTCCCCCAGCCCTCGGCGGTTGGCGGCATTCTGCCGATTGAAAGCTTCCCTTCGGGACGTCATTAGGTGTTCTGTGCGACGCCTGGAAGCAGCTGATTGGCTAACGGGGCTGTGCACAGCCAAGGTCGAGGCGTTAGCCTGATGCTCTGCTTTGCGTGACTGCACGAAGGACTGGTAGACGCTGTCATAGACCCCTGCCAGGGGAGGAATTATTTAAAATAAGCCTCCCAGAAACCTGTCTGGTGCAGTAAAATTTCTTCTAGTAGACCTGCAGGAAACCCTCCTAGAATGTTCCGTGTGTTTCCTAAATTCCCATTTAGAGAGAGAGTACAGAACATGGCTTGTTTCCACAGCACAGTTGTAAATTCCAGTTTCAAACTAGGTGAAATACCCTGACTTTCTCATTAGAATTTGTTTGCTCTGCTGCATTTGAAGAAACGTGGGTGGGAGAGGAGAGGCCTGGCCTTATCCCCACAGTATCAGTTCCAAGGAGAGAGAAGGAGCATGAAAACTGTAGGAGAAATTTCAATAGAAGAGAATACAGCTTAGGGTTGAACTATGAAGTCCTTGGTGCTCCCTGAGTTTGGATGCTTGCTTGCAGGTTATCTGACTAGGTAACATCATCTGTACCGATGAGCATGGGGTTTTCTTGGAGTTGCTTTAGAATTCCTTGATTATTGTTTTCTGTCTGATTGTTTGGCTGGTATTAATCCCTGCTTATCTGGATATAAGCTGCTGGAGAGGATGTTTTCTGGGGACGCTGCAACAGTGTGGCAACTTCAAGATCCATGGACTTCAATTCCCAGAATTCTTTCTCAGGAACAGAAAGGGAAGCTGGGAGGAAGTGGCTCTTTATCTGACAGTTCTCAAATTCCCATGACATTGGACATCTCTTGGCTAAAGAGTTTTTGCTCCTGTTCCTCTGCATAATGGCACTACCCATTTTTTTTTTTTAAAAAAATGCAAGCAGAGAAATCATGCTATGGATCCCCACCCCACCCCACCCGCCACAAGATTTTAAGGTAGTGGGAGCCATTCCAGGAAATCATAAAGATGGGGCTTTCCTCAAAGCCTTTAGGGCAGTGAGGCTACCTAATCAGAGGCAGCTACGCATGGGGAGTGTTAGAATGGAGGCAGATGGTATTGTTGACTAGTTTTAGGTTTTTTTATGAGAAAAACATGAAGAATAAGTGGCATACAAATTGTAAACAAAATAATTAAGGCTAGCTGATAAGGTTCACCACTGCTCTGTGATTTAAATCCAGAGCAACTTATTTGCAGCATACATTTTATATTATTCCACTTCAGTGGAATAGAAAGTCAGGAGAATTTTACTGGGTCAATCCAGTATAAAGGAGAACCACTATACTGTACAAGTGGTCCTCACTTAACTATTGGGCCCCAAATTTTGGTTGTAAGTCATTATGCAATGATAAAGCAGGTCACTATGTGACCTGACTCCATTTTATACCCATTTTTACAATGGTTGTAAAGTGAGGCACCATGGTTAAGCAAAACCTAGTGTTTTGTCCTAGTGGACAATCATTTAAATATGAGCCAGCAGTGTGCTGCAGCTGCCAAAAAAGCCAAAACAGTGCTAGGCTGCATTAACAGAGGGACAGAATCAAGATCATGTGAAGTATTAGTACCACTTTACAATGCTTTGGTAAGGCCATACTTGGAATACTGCATCCAGTTTTGGTCACCACGATATAAAAAAGATGTTGAGACTCTAGAAAGAGTACAGAGAAGAGCAACAAAGATGATTAGGGGACTGGAGGCTAAAACATATAAGGAACGGTTGCTGGAATTGGGTATGTCTAGTTTAATGAAGAGAAGGACGAGGGGGGACATGATAGCAGTATTCCAATATCTCAGGGGCTGCCATAAAGAAGAGGGAGTCAAGCTATTTTCCAAAGCGCCTTAAGGTAGGACAAGAAGCAATGGATGGAAACTAACCAAAGAGAGAAGCAACCTAGAATTAAGGAGAAACTTCCTGACAGAACAATTAACCAGTGGAACAACCTGCCTCCAGAAGCAGAGAATGCGCCAACACTGGAAGTTTTTAAGAAGAAACTGGACAGCCATTTGTCAGAAATGGATAGGGTTTCCTGTCTGAGCAGAGGGTTGGACTAGATGACCTCCAAGGTCCCTTCCAACTTTATTATTATTATTATTATTATTAAAAACATGTGGTTGTTAAGTGAATCCAGCATATCTGTTGGGCTGATTTTGCCCTTTTCTGCCGGAAAACAACAGAAAAGTGGCAAATCAGAGTCATACAATTGTGGGATGCTGCAACCACCTCATAAATGTGAGGTGGTTGCCAAGCACACAAAATGCAATCATCTGGCCTTGGAAAGGGTGAGTGTGGCAGTCGTGACTTTAAAGGATGGGTCATAATTTTTTTTTCTGAGTCCGTCGTAACTTCAAGCAATCATTAAGCAATTAGTTGTTAAGCAAGGACTACCTCTAGTGTTTAGCAGGTCAAACTAAGAATTGGAAAAACTACATTCTGATCCTCATTCAGTCAAGCAGCTCCACAGAGGCTGCCTGAAGAGAAAGGATAACATCAAGGGTAGGAAAGCAGGGAAAGATATGGATAAAATGGACAAAGGATTTGTAGTTGTGGATTGCTTTGTTTTCTAGACCAGGGGTCCCCAACCCCCGGTCCGTGGACTGGTACCGGGCTGCAGCGTGCCAGCAACCGGGCCACACAAACAAGCAAAGCCCCATCTGTGGGATGGGGGCAGCACACAAAACCACACCTCCTCCGGTCTGTGGAAAAACCTCTCTCCACGGAAGCGGTCCCTGGTGCCCAAAAGGTTGGGGACCTCTGTTCTAGACAGAATGGCAGAAAACACTTACCCAACACGTTGGTGTTTATGAGAATATTAAGCTGGTGCTTCAGATCTTCTAGGCTAAAGTTGAGACTCCGAACGCCACGCTCCAGGGTGCCCAGCGCATGATTGGCATTAAAATTCTTGTCCTGGGTGGCTGTCAGCAATCCCTCCAGCTGGGTCAGTGTTTCTGTTACATCAGCTATCTCCTGCCTGATCAGAACAAGAGGGAGACGTGAAGTACCTCCCCCAGACTTGTTAATCCAATGTGATGCCGCCTTTTTAGGGGCTGCTTTAAGATGTGTGGACTTCAACTCCCAGAATTTCCTGGCTGTGCAATTCTGGGATGTGAAGTCCACACATTTTAAAGTCGCCAAGTTTGAGAAACATTGAATTAGGGAAACCAGAGTTCAGTGGCAAAAAGCAGCTGCTTCATATCCAGAAAGTCCTCCAATCCACATCACTCTTGGAAGAACTACTGCTAGCAGGAATATGATTTTGGTGATAGATCAGTGGTTCTCAACCTGTGGGTCGGGACCCCATTTGGGGTCGAATGACCATTTCACAGGGGTCGCCAAACAATGCAGTCCGCCATTTTTCCCCCCTTTTTCCTTAGCTGTGCTACTCCCTTTTATTCTATTGGCTTTTGAAAGCCAATAGAATAGACTCTCTTGAACAGAGTCTAATTCTATTGGCTTTCAAAAGCCAATAGGAATTATCCAGGCTGTCTCTACCCTGCTGAGCCCGCCAAAAGTCCCATTCTGCAAACGGTGCTGCACCAGTTGAGTAGTCCTCGACTTACGACCGGTTGAGTAGTCCTCGACGTACGACCGGTTGGGGGTCGTGGCATTAAAAAGGTTGAGAACCACTGGAATAGACTCTCTTGAATAGAGTCTAATTCTATTGGCTTTCAAAAGCCAATAGGAATTATCCAGGCTGTCTCTACCCTGCTGAGCCTGCCAAAAGTCCCATTCTGCAAACGGTGCTGCACCAGTTGAGTAGTCCTCGACTTACGACCGGTTTAGTCCTCGACTTACGACCGGTTGGGGGTCGCGGCATTAAAAAGGTTGAGAACCACTGTGATAGATGATATAAAGCAGTTTTCTATAGTCAATATATTGCTGTAGTAGAGGAAAGCTAATAACCAAACCTTGATGGGGACAGAGATACGTTCTCTAATGTTCATCCAGTACATCTAAACCCTGACGCTACACCAGCTTGGAAGAGGGAGATTTCAAGGTTTTTTTTAAATCAGATTAGGCTAAAAACAACTGGAAAGAAATTCAATCTTTACATTAAAGAGTAATTATTTGGATTTCTCTTGTTTTAGGAAAACTTTGGTGAGCAATAGTAAAAGAAAGGTGCAGGTGCACTCATATATTACCTTATGTACAATGGCGCAATTTGTTTGATTGGGTCCCTGGATGTGTTGTGAACTCAGATATTCATCATAGCTTATACTTTTTAGCGGGAGGTTTGAATTCTGTTAATTGTGGTTTATGCAATCAATTGTTTTTGAGTTAATGACTTAATTCTGCAGAAACACGCTTGGGATGGAAGTATTCTTTTTTGAAATAAAACCAGCTGGCTTCATTTTAAATGTGTACAGTCATTTGTTGCAGCAAGTATATTATGTGATTGGTCTTGAACAGGTTTCAAGAATTCTGTTGCCAGGTTAACTGGGAAAGTCTTTTGAAATGCCTTGAGATGGTTTTCATTAACTGGAGTCCTCCATCTTCCAAAGCATGCACTCTGGACGATGAGTCCTGCCTAATCCCTGCTCTTCCACTCTTGCCTGCTCCACCTTTTGGGCCAGTTTAGTGGAGGTTGGGGGCTGGGCTGCCTTTCAACTTACCGCACATCGTCCATATTGCGCAGGAGGTGAGTGATGGTGGCGGCGGTAGCATTGCGAGCACTGACCACAGCCTGGATGGCGCTCAGTTTGTCCTGCAGCCGACGGAAGGGGCCCTCAAAAGCTCCAGCCAGCCCCGTTTGGTGGAGTTGTTGAGCCCGCTGCATCAGGCTGCGGGTGTGGGCAGCCAGGTCTTGCACAATGCGATCCCAGTCTCCAAAGCACTGGTGGCAGGGCTGGCAGGCGGGGAAATCACCAGCGAAACCGCGGGAGCATTGGTCACAGCGCACGCCAGACACCCCCGGGCGGCAGGAGCAGTGCCCAGTAGTACGGTGGCATTGCGGCTTCTCAATCCCACGGGGGTCACAATCACAGGCTGCCAACAACACACAAGAAGTTTAGCCCACCCTCTCTGCTCTTCTACACAGGGCCTCTTAGCAAATTAAGCTCAGAAGCGCTGCATTCTTCCAGAAATAATTCCTTTGGCAAGTTGAACTGAACCTCAGACCTCAGACCCCATTTTCCTAATTGCATACAGGTAATCCTCAAATTACAACCGTTGTTATTAAGCGACTATTCACAGTTACGACATTGAAAAATGACTAGTCCTCACACTTATGACTGTTGCAGCATTCTTACAGTCATAGGATCAGAATTTGGACGCATGGCATCCAGCATACGTTTTCGATGGTTGCAGAGTGTCCCAGGTCACCTGATTGCCTTTTTTTAAATCTTTCCAACTGGCTTTCGACAAGCAAAGTCAACAGGGGAAGAGATTCAAATTTGGAGTCTGTCATTTTGACAGAGTTTCACATCTTGCTTTCTCTCTTACCTCTGCACTGTTGACCTGGCTGGCCCCAATGGTTCTCCTGGCACTCTGAACAGGTGCGGCCTCCGAATCCTGGCCGGCATTGGCACTGCCCTGTGAACTACAAAGACAGGCGCCATTAGAGGGCCAGAGTCTGCTAACAAGGGCAGAGGTAGATATATGGTATGAGGCATGGGAGAGGAGGCAGGAAGAGGAGAAGTGGCAGCAGCAATAACAATAACCATGATAGTAATATAGTACTATATAATGTTAAAACGTGCTGACGTATGTTCTCTGTAAAGCCTCTGATTCTCTTCTCCTGGTCTCTTCCCATTAGAGATAATGGGAGCTACAGTAGAACATAAATCTGTAATGGGCTGTGAGAATAACCTTGGGAGACAGGAGAAAGATACCCGGTCTAGGTAATGGTCTAATAAGAGCAAAAAAGAGATGGGGGTGGAGAAAGCATCTCAGAAGGGAATTCCCTAGCTCAGCGATGGCGAACCTTTTAGACACTGAGTGCCCAAAAACCACCCCCGCCCCACCCGCTCCACCCCCATTCCGCCAGCCCACAAGTCCACCTACCGCCTCCACAGCCCGCCACAGATTACCCAGATGGCCCTGCAGTGCCATGGTGGCCACATCCTCCACCCGCGCCCTGCAGCATGATGAGTGCGCGATGGGGCACAAGGGCGGAATCTTGTCTCTGTTGCCTGGCTGCCATGACATTGGCTGTGCTGGTCTGCGCGGGTCATGCCTCGAGGCGACTGTCCTCTGGGGGGAGGCTGCTGGTGAGGAGGGGGCCGCAGGTACAGGCGGGGCTGGGGCAATGGCGTGCATGCCCACAGAGAAGGCTCTGAGTGCCGCCTCTGGCACATGTGCCATAGGTTCGCCACCACTGCCCTAGGTCTCAGGGAAATATAGGCAAGGCAGGAGAGGAGTACCTTCAGACTTGCAAAATTCTGTTACTGTAAACTTACAATAAAGGTAGTATTAATACTCATGGTTTTGGTTTCCTGCTCGAATTATCTTGAATGTCTAACAATAATATCTGCATAGTAGCAAGATGGAAGAAATGACAACAAATCTCTATGTAATAGGTAAGCTGTAAAATTATCTCCATACTGGACATCAGCTGGTTTGGGACAATATGGCTGTCTTGCTCAAAACTATTTAAATTCATAGTGGGGTGAAGTTTGCTATAGCCATTCTGCTGTAAGGAGGCAGGAGAGGAGAATAACGCAATAGCTGCAGCAGAGACAGCAGTTGCAAAGAATATAGATGGCCCTTGACTTACAGCCATTCATTTAGTGACCGTTCTAAATTACAACTGTGCCGAAAAGGTGATTTACGACTGGTCCTCGCACTTATGAATGGCACAAGGTTATCTGATCAAAATTTGGCCGCTTGACAACCAGCATGTACTTACAAGGTTTGTGGCAACCCGGGGTCATGTGATCACTATGTGCAACCTTTCCAGCTGGCTTTTGACAAGCAAAGTCAATGGGGGAAGCCAGATTCTCTTAACAGCTGCATGATTCACTTAACAACTGCCGCGATTCTCTTAACAACTGTGACCAAAACATAAAACCGGGTGTAACAATGTCCTTGCTTAGCAGTGGAAATTGTGATCCCAATTGTGATCATAAGTTGAGGACTACCTGTTAACAGCTTCTCCGAGCTTGTTTCGCTCCAAGTTGAAACATGTTCTGGTCTATTTGTATGATGGAAGCACCATATTGCCTGACTCTTCTCGGCTCTTGCAAATTGTTTTGATGTTCAAGCAAAATCTCTTTTCAATGTTTCTATATTATTTCACCGAGATCTCAAAATAACGTCCCCAGGCGTGTTTGCATCCTCTGAAGGCCATGCAGATACCACCTCTCCACCCTACTTTTTATCCTCTCATCCAGCCTGTGAAATAGAGCTGAATTAAAACTCTCCTCCCCTCTCCCAGCCTATCGGCCAAGGAGCTTCCAGGTCGTGGCCCACCCTGTTCTTCAACGCTGGAAGTTCTCCCAGTTTTCAGCACCTCATTGACCAAGATGCCTGCACCTGCCTTGCCTGGCACAGAGCTCAGACTGACCTGATTACAAGCAGGGCTCAGTGAGTAATAGGAATGGCAATCACAGGGTTGGCAGCCCTGCCCACTGGTTAAGTTCCAGAAGTTGGGGGCACAACGGTCACAGTTTTGTCCTTGGACATTGGGTAGGCACTGGCACTGCCCACTGTGCCGGTCACACTGGCACTCTTCCTGTGAGGAGCATTTGTTCTGCACCGTCCCCAGATGGTTACAAGAGCAACCTGTGGGTAGCAAAATATATATATATGATATTCAGCCACTTCTTTGGAGGAAAAAAGATACAGCAATGGGTAGGTCACACCATCTTTACAGAAAAGTAAATAGTTATTATGTCAGTTAAAAGGAAGCTACTCTCCTTGGGCACCATAAACCAAAGCTTTTTTTGGGGGGGGAGATGGCTGTGGTATACAGATTAGCACTAATATTTTAGTAAGATTGTGCAGGCTGTCTTTTTAGTACAGTGGTTCTCAACCTTTTTAATGCCACGACCCCCAACCAGTTGTAAGTCGAGGACTACTCAACCGGTCGTAAGTCGAGGACTACTCAACTGGTGCAGCACCGTTTGCAGAATGGGACTTTTGGCGGGCTCAGCAGGGCAGAGACAGCCTGGACAATTCCTATTGGCTTTTGAAAGCCAATAGAATTAGACTCTATTCAAGAGAGTCTATTCTATTGGCTTTCAAAAGCCAATAGAATAAAAGGGAGTAGCACAGCTAAGGAAAAGGGGGAAAAAATGGCGGACTGCGTTGTTTGGCGACCCCCGTGAAATGGTCGTTCGACCCCAAATGGGGTCCCGACCCACAGGTTGAGAACCACTGTTTTAGTAAGATAGTCTGCACAATCTTTTAGTAAATGTTTTAATAAGATTTGAAGGACTGTCTTTTCCCAGTCACATCTACCTAACCCCACCAAAGTGAGGAGGCAGGGAATGCTATGGGTCCCCTCTCCTAAGGGGGTCCATCTATCAGGACCAAGAAGAAGGACTTTCTCTGTGGTGGCTCCCTCCCTCCCTCCCTGTGGAACATCATCCCCACAGAGCTAAGATTGATCTCCACTCTTTCGCAAGGCCCTGAAGACATTGTTCTGCCAAGGACCTGAAGACCCAGAGTGAGATGGAGCCAATCAAATGGCTCATCTGATTCATATTGCCAAAGGTGGGGGGATTAATTGATTTTTGCATTGGAGTTTAGCCTCTTAAGCCACCCGGAGTCACTGCGAGTGAGTTGGGAAGCCGTATAACTTTTCTCAAATAAAAACAAACAACAACAACAACAAAAAAACAATAAAATCCAGGCAGTCAGTATTTGCAGTAGACACTTACGGCGGCAGGTATGTCGAGTGGCGTCGCCATAGTAACCCCTTTGGCAGTGTTGACACTGGTCTCCCTCGGTGTGGTAGAGGCAGCGAAGGCATTGACCTGTGCGTCGATCGCAGGATTTGGGGTCTGCCAGATCAATGTTGTTATTACAGGCGCAGGGCTGGCATCGTCCTCTAACCTGCCAGGGGTTGCCATAATAACCAGGAGCACACTCGTCACAGCGTGGGCCTGTATGAAGGAAGAGTGCCAGTTGGGATGCCTGGGACAAACAGGAGGAAACTCAGCGGCCCAACCAAAGAACCACCAAGATCACTCCCACCAACATGGATAGGGCAAGCCACTAGAATATAAATTGAGCAAACACCACCCCCTGCTACCTTTGATGATGTTACCTAGTTTGGTAATGAAATGTCTATAAGAAAACCACCAAGCTCAGAGAGCACCTGGACCCCCCCATTTCAACCCTGAGCTGCAAATATTCTCCTTTATTGGAGCAAACTCACCCGCCTACCCAACATACATAACCCAACCAAACGTCTTTCACCTCCCTCAGTTCCAGCCTCCAAAGCCTCCCAGACCTGATTGTGTTCTGCTTTTTCACTGCAGCTCGTGTTGTGCAGAGAGCTATTGCCCCAATCCCGCCATAAGGTGGAATGAAGACCTGCCCTCGTGCCCCAAAGCTGGACTTGCCTGTATAACCTCCGAGGCAGCTGCACAGGACAGTTCCGGAAGGGTTGTCTTGGTGGCAAGTGGCTGCAAAATGGCGCCCAGAGCCAGGAGCCTCAGGGCAGGGGCAAGGACGGCATTGGCCACCCAAGGACAGTACTGGGTTCCCATAGTATCCGGCCACGCAGCTGCACATGAGGGAAGAGGTTGTTTTAGGAACACGTGATTTTATTTTTATTTTATTTATTCATTTGTATCCCAGTGATGAACCTTTCTAACATACTTTCCTTCTCCTATTTTCTCCACAATAACAACCTTGTGGGTTGAGTTGGGCTGAGAGACAGTGACCAGCCCGAAGTCACCCAGTTGGTTTTCATGTCTAAGATGAGACTATAACTCTCTTCCACTACATTTTCACACGACTTCTACTTCCAACTTGATTTCTTTCACTTCTTTCCTCTTCTTCCTCATCCACTGGTTCCCAAGATCCAGTTTTGATACAGTCAAGTAATGTTTTTACTCAGCAAAATCTACTCTTGTTTCATCTCTACTACATGAGGGGCAATGAGCTGCTGTACTTAAGGTATAGATAGTCCTCGACTTACGATCGCAATTGACCCCCGCATTTTGGGAGTTTTGCCCCATCTTATAGCCTTTCTTGATACAGTTGTTAAATGAATCACTGCAGTTGTTAAATTAGTAACACAGCTGTTAAGGGAATTTGGTTTCACCATTGACTTTGCTTGTCAGAAGGTCACAAAAAGTGATCACGTGACCCTGGGACACAGCAATGGTCATAAATAAGAGCCAGTTGCCAAGCATCCCAATTTTGATCACATGGCTGTGGGGATGCTGCACAGCATTTGTGTCGTGAGTGTGAAAAACGGTCATGTCACTTTTTTCAGTGGGGCTGTAACTTTGAACCGTCACTAAACAAATGGTTGTAAATCGAGGATTACTTATATTTATTTAGGACTGAAAAGGAAGAATTCTTGTATAAGAAGCGTTAATCTCTTACAGGAAAATCAAGTCCATATGAATGGGGCTTGAGTTCCGGTTCCTTTCTTTGTAATTTTCTTTGTCAGGAATACCTTCTACCAAAGTGTTTTTTTTTTTTCAACTTCTCAAGTTAGCCTATGGGTATAATATTATCTGGAGGTTTCTCATCTAACTATTAAAGAAGCTCAACCTTGTTTAGCTTCCAATTCTGGTAGAGCCACTGGCTGATACCTCCTAAAGAAGTGGCAGGATTGTGATGAACCATCCATACTATACATATTTGTGCATGTGTTGCTTTTTGGGGGGGAATAGATTTTTAAAATTAAAATAATTTAAAAAATCTATTCCCCCCCCAAAAATGTAATGTACCTTAAGCATTTATAAGCATAAATAGTGGAGGAATAGAAAAATTTTGAGGAAGCAGAAGAACAAGCTGGAGTTACAAATAAAGGAACTGTGTAGAAAAGTGGAGCTGGCTAGAAAGATTGATACAAACACTTTAGGCTACCAAGAAAATGATAAAAGAAATGCTGAGAATGGCTTACTATCAATAAGCTAAGGAATTTACAAAAATGCTACAAAAGAATGATAGCTAGTTACTATAAGCAAAGAGATGTGTTAATCTATGGTAGCCCCAAAATCAGAAAGAACCCAGTAGCACCTTTTCAGATTACATTTTATTAAAAGGCATAAACTCTGAATAAAATTTGTTTGCTCCCAGAATAGCTGGATACATCCCAAGAAATATAAGTTCACCAACAATTAAGTTACAGATTTACCATCCAATCTTGATGTCTGAAGAAATCCATTACATCCTGAAAAAAAGACCTTGTCTACTGAATGAATGAAGGTGTAGGAATACCACTAGGAGTATTAGTTAAAAAGATGTTTTTAAATTTTAAATTTTCGCATTGTTGTCAGAGCTGGGTTGTTCAATATCCCTCTTTAATGATGCTGCAGTGCATGAATGATCACCCTGGTTTTTATTTGGGGATGAAGTGCAGGATGTGTCAATTCTGCGCATAACAATTCTGTCTGAAAGGACATCAATGTAATCAATGAATGGATTGAAGTATAATGCTGTTTTTGCTTTCCACTGTCATTCCGGTTCTGCCTTCGGCATATTAAACTTGCTTTTTATTGAACCAAAAACTTCTCTGGGAAATTATTTGAAAATCTATGGAGCCGACTAAAGAAACTTGTTAGTCAGAAGCAACCCAGCAATAAAACCCAGTTAATAGAAGCAATCATTCAATCTTGGTTTCACATTATAACAGCTGCAGAACTAAAAGACTTGGCTCACTCCATGGGAAGACGTTATAAGGCCGTAATTCATGCTAAAGGCTACCCAAGTATTAATTGACATGGTGATAATTTTTGTATATCTCATTTTTTCTATGGTGATAATTTTGGTATATCTCGTTTTTTTCTATGTGTTTCACTTTTCTTCTTTATAACTGCTATTCTAATAGCAAATCCTTCATAAAAGTTATTGTATTACATTCTTGATTAAATTGTCTTTCCATTGATATATACTTTTATGGTACTACTCCCCAAAAAGTGGTGTTATTAGCCATCAAACCTCAAATGTATACGTTTCCCAAAAGGTTTCCACAATTTTGGCTACTACTGTATATAGGTAGTCCTTGGCTTATAGCAGTGTTTCCCAAACTTGACAATTTTAAGGCATGAGGACTTCAACTCCCAGAATTCCACAGCCAGCATTGCTGGCTGTGGAATTCTGGGAGTTGAAGTCCTCATGCCTTAAAATTGTCAAGTTTGGGAAACACTGGCTTATAGCCATTCATTCAGTGACCGTTCGAAGTTACCCCGGCCCTGAAAAATAGTGACTTACGACTGTTTTTCACAATTACGACCGTGGCTGCATCCCTGTGGTCTGGCAAACTGATTCACATTTATGACGGTCACAGTGTCCAGGGGTCATGTGAAAACCTTTGGTGACCTTCTGACAAGCACAGTCAATGGGGAAGCTAGATTCACTTAACAACTGTGATATTAACTTAACTGATGACCTCCAAGGTCCCTTCCAACTTCATTATTATTATTAAATGCAGCGATTTATTTAACAATTGTGGCAAGAAAGGTCGTGAAATGGGGCAAAACTCAACTGTCTCGCTTAGCAACAGAAATTTTGGGCTCAATTGTGATCGTAAGTCAAGGACTACCTGTATTCTAGCCTGCTGTTGATCTTGAAGTCCACGCAGGAAATCATGGATAGATGTATGTCTATTAGCTAATGGCCGGCTCTCGGCATATTCTACCGTTTCTCCCTTACCTCTCACACCGATTTCCTTCCGTGTGGCCCCGGCAATGCAAACAGCTGCCTGTCCGTGACTCACATTCTTCTGATCGGCCATTACACTGGCATGGACGGCAGTTTGGGAAGCCCCAGTGACCAGCCTGGCAGTGGTCACAGTGAGGCCCAAAAACACCTGCCCGACAAGGACACTGTCCACTAAAGTTGTCACAAAAACTGCTCAAGGACCCTTGGCTGTGGCACTGGCATGCTGGAAGGAGAAAGAAAAGTCATATCATGGCAAGCCCGTGAAGAGTTTCCTGCTCTGAATGAAGGAAGGCAGAACATACCCCAATGGTTCAGAAACCGAAACAGACAGAATTAGAAGTGAATCATAGCAATAGTGCTAGCCATAGCAGTAGCGTTCAGGCTTAGATACTGCCCCATACCGCTTTACAGCACTCTCTTGAACATTTTACAATGTAGAAGCATTATTTGCGTGTTGCCCCCAACAATCTCGGTCCTCATTTTACCGACTTGGAAGGATGGAAGGCTGAGTCAACCTTGATTCCTGTCAGGATCGAACTCCAGGATATGGCAGAGTTAGCCTGCTATGCTGCTTTCTAATCACTGCGCCACCAGGGCTCTTCGTAACTGGATGTTGATTATAGAAAAGCATCCTCAACTCTAATGAGAGCAGCTGAAATTTTCCCACCCCAACTATTCTTGTGTCTCCTCCCAATCATGCTCTACCAATGATTCAAGCTCAATAGGATGCATCTACACAATTCATGCATTCGTGTATATTTTCTTCATGGTCTATGCCAAATATTTTATTTCTGCTCTCATCTGGCTACATATACCCCAAAATGGAAAGACTGCTATTTTGCATAACTTCAACCATCTCCTAAGCATGAAGGTTGCTATTTTGGGTGAAACATTCAGCTTCCCCCCCCCCTTGAGGTAAGATTACCCACATATAGAAGTGGCTTGCCATTGTCTTCACCTCCCTATCTATCCTATAGCTTGGTTTTTCTTGGTGATTCCCCACCCAAGTCCTATCCAGGCCAAACCCCACCTGGACACTAAAGATCAACCTGCTAAAAAAAGATATATATCAAATGAATAAACTAAATAGAATTGGACAACCCACATTCAAGTCCCTGCTTAACCATGGAGTAACTGGCCATCATTATTTCTCAAGCAGACAATCTAACATGGAGGCAATGGAGATAAACCTTGTTTGGAAATATAATAACCAGTAAATAAACTAATGAGATGAAATAGCTGATTCCAGATACAACACAATATACAGATAAAAATATCCACTCATATGTGGAAAAGGGCTGAAGTTTCCGTAGATGACCAGTTCCCACTAAAGGCATTTTCAAAAAATATCGAGGCAGATAAGAGTAAATTTCATTCTTGTCCTTGCAAGCTGCTTCTCTACTCCAACACGCTCCACCTAAATAATTTCCATCACCTCTAATGGTACTTCCAATAAAGGCTCAGTCAGCAAAAGCAACCAGCTTAGATCAATATTTCTGCCTATCAATTAGCTATCAAAAGGGTCTTCAAACTTGGCCCTTTTATGACTTGTGGACGTCAACTTCCAGAATTCCTCAGCCAGCGTGCCTGGCTGAGGAATTCTGGGAGTTGAAGTCCACAAGTCATAAAAGGGCCAGGTTTGAAGACCCCTGAGCTATCATCTTCAGCAGCATATGGAACTGGGCTGGCAGGGACGGATCTGTGCTTTGAGGAGAAAGGAAGCTGAGTTTCACTCACGCTTGCAGCCACCAGGCCCAAAACCAAAGGTGCCGGGAGTGCAGCGTTCACAGCGACGACCCATGACGTGAGGCTTGCACTGACACTGTCCACCGTCTGGATTGCACTCGAGACTCAGAGATCCCTGGAGATCACACTGGCAGGCTGGAGACAGAGGAAGAAGCAGCAGCAGAGAAAAGGGAGTGATGCTCTTTAGGAAAAGCTTCTTAGTCTCTCCTCCCGGCTTGCACAGAAATGGACCTGAGATCCATGTGACTAAGTATCCCCTCTCCGTTATATAATGGGAAAAAATCTGAATGTGTTTGCCAGGGTCAGCCCTGTCTGTGCTTGCCAGGCTTCCAGAATTGCACAAGAACAGCCAGGACTCTTTCCCCAGAGCTCAGTTAAATCGCTCAGTTAGACCATCCGCCTCTTGTCTGTGAGTCAACAGAAAGCTACACTGGCATAGTTTATATCCCATTACCAGTCCCAAAGGTCTCTACTCTGACTTGATGGTGTCCTCATTCCTTGTGCAGGAAAGGTTGCCTTTTCCCAACCCCCCCCTTCTCCTCATCACCAAGAAAAGTGCCCCCCAATCATAGCAATGCTGTCATTGGCAATAGATTCGGGGGTGGCTCAGCTTGTGGATTTAGGCGTCTGTCAGAACTTTCTCCTTGCTTCCCTGCCTCTCCCGGCTGGAGAATCACCTGCCAGACCAGGAGAGGTGAGCAGGTGAGTGGAAGAGGAGGCTCTTTGCACAGCAGATCTGAGCTGATCTCTGCCTTGGATCCCTGCGCGCAAAAGTAGCGGTCAGGGTGTTGGGACTGCACGAGCCAGATGTATCTCTGCTTCTGTTTCAGGATGGAACCCCACAGTTCCTAGCAGCTATGGTTCAGGCTGACTTTGAACGCCCGTTTTGGCACTCTTCCAGGCTTCAGTGCTCTTCTGGAAAAGCTATAAACTAAAGTATAAACCCATATTCAAAAGCGGCCTGAACAACAGCCCATGTGTACTGGGTGTGCATCTAAGATAGACGAGATCCAGTTTGAGGTCCCTTATTTCGCCACACAGCCTCCTCTCCACCACTGGTCAGCTGTTTTTCAGATCGCAATCAGAGGTAAAACTGCTGCAACCTTATTTGCTGCTGAAGGGAGAACTTCAAAGGACAACTTAAAACTATCTGGAGTGTAGGCTGGGAACAAGGTAAAAGCAACCTCATGGAGACCGTAGATCAGTGGTTCTCAACCTGTGGGTCGGGACCCCATTTGGGGTCGAACGACCATTTCACGGGGGTCGCCAAACAACGCAGTCCACCATTTTTCCCCCCTTTTCCTTAGCTGTGCTACTCCCTTTTATTCTATTGGCTTTTGAAAGCCAATAGAATAGACTCTCTTGAATAGAGTCTTATTCTATTGGCTTTCAAAAGCCAATAGGACTTGTCCAGGCTGTCTCTGCCCTGCTGAGCCCGCCAAAAGTCCCATTCTGCAAACGGTGCTGCACCAGTTGAGTAGTCCTCGACTTACGACCGGTTGGAGGTCGCGGCATTTAAAAAGTTGAGAACCACTGCCTTAGATAAAAGTGGTTTCCAGGACATATTCATATTCTGCTAAGAGGCACGTGGGGAAGGCCTAGAGCAGGGGTCTTCAAACTTGGCCCTTTTATGACTTGTGGACTTCAACTCCCAGAATTCCTCAGACAGCGTGCACGCTGGCTGAGGAATTCTGGGAGTTGAAGTCCACAAGTCATAAAAGGGCCAAGTTTGAAGACCCCTGGCCTAGAGTCTCCAGGAACCATCTCTCCCATCTCATCAGGGCTTCACCTTGAACCGTCCCTGTCTTCCTCTGAGTGAGCAGAACAACTTCCCTAGTCCACTGATGATTTCCCCTGTGCCCGAGCCCCTGGGTGGCAGTTGTATCTGGGCAATTTAACACTCACGGAGTGCCCCCTGGTGAATGATGGCTGACATGCTGGTGAGCAAGTTGGCACAAGCCTCCGGGGCGGGCCCCTTAATCACAGGGCGAGCCTGCTGGGCACAGCGGTAGCGCTCAAAGGTCTCTTTGCGAGCAATAGAGGCGGCATCCCCGGCAATGAACATCTCCAAGGAGGAGTAACGTGGCACCAGTACCAACTTCCAAGGAAGAGAAATGAGAAGGAGAGAGGGAGAAAAGAGGATAGGGTTGGGTGTTTACAGCTGGTTCCTCCAGATGTGGCTCTCCCCTCTGCTATGTGTGCCAGGGTTACCAATCTCAGTACTTACAGAGTCCAGGAGTACAGCAGCGCCTTGCAAATGCTCACGCCCTCCGGAATGGGTAAACTCTACCCTAATGGTGTACCTGATTCCTTGTTCTAGGCAGACTGGCTGTTGCAGCACAATGTACCTGTGGGAATGGAAATGCCAATTCATTTCACAGAGGTCTCACGTAACCCCCCCCCCACACACCCCCATTAGAATTTTTCTGAGGATCCTCAGTTAACGACCACTAATTCAGCAACTGTTTGAAATCACAGTGCTGCTGAAAAAGTGGTACTTATGTTTGGTCCTCAAAATTCTAGCTTTTGCAGTGCCTCTCTAGTCACGTGATCGTGATCCAGACGTTTGGAAACTGGCCCACATTTTTTTTTTTAAATTTTTATTTTCAATTTTACATTACATCATAAAAAATACTTCAGATAAAGAGTAAAATAAATTTATACACATAACTTTCGGTATTGCTCACCCATTTTCCCCCAAACCGCGTCCACCCTCTAGCCCAGAGGTAGTCAACCTTGGCTCTTTTATGTCTCGTGGACTTCAACTCCCAGAATTCCTGAGCCAGCACAGCTGGCTCAGGAATTCTGGGAGTTGAAGTCCACGAGTCATAGAAGAGCCAAGGTTGACTACCCCCGCTCTAGCCTCTTCTCTCACTTCCCTCTTTCCCTCTTTTTCTTCACTCTCCCCCTCTCTTCCTTCTCCTCAACCTTCCTACTTACTTCTCCCCTTCCTCCTATCTTCTCATTCCGGATGCAGTCCAGGAGAAATGCCCGAGCAATTCCTCTCTCCAAAATAAAGCATAATATTATAAACAATGAAACTATTTCTACTTATCTGAGCTATTTAACCTTCATCCCATTCCCCCTCCTCCCCCCTACCCCCACCCCCCACTTCCCAGAGCCAAGTACAGGGTTATACAAACATATTAAACATAATCTATTTAAGTTTACTAATTATACAATAACCAAAATCATACTAACCCTTAACTCTCTTCAGACTTTAACATCATAATTTTATAAACAAATCCATTACTCATAAAATAAATGAAACTTTGTAGTTCCATATTTCTTCTGAACATATTCTATACATCTTCTCCATACAATAACATATCCGAAACTGGCCCACATTGTCAAGTGTTGCAGCATCCCACAGTCCATCTGATCCCGATTTCTGAGGTCCCCTGCCAGCTTCCGACAAGCGAAGACAACAGGGAAGCCAGGAGGAAGTCAGATGTCACGGTTACCTGAGGATCTTGCTTAAACAAGCCCATGGTGATTTGCTTAATGATGGTAACCGGGGATTGCCTGCAACTATTGTCATTAAGCAGCGCAGTGACATGATGTTGCGCTTTGTGATGGTGTCACTTAGCAATGGAAATTTGGGGCCCAATTATCATCGTTAAGTGAGGACGATCTTTATCAGATTTGCAGAAGAAGGCTTTCTTGCGGCCCATATTACTGAGACAACTGACTGGCATGCTCAAAGAATCTCTGCCTCCTGCTATGGATGGGAGGAGAAGCAAAAGAAGAAGATGCTATCCCTGTTCATCATATAGTTTAGGCCAGGGGTAGGCAAAGTTGGAATTAAGATTGCCGGGAGAAATATCAACAACCTAAGATATGCAGATGATACCACTCTAATGGCAGAAAGTGAAGAGGAACTAAAGAGCCTCTTGATGCGGGTGAAGAAGGAGAGTGCAAAAGTTGGCTTGAAACTCAACATTAAGAAAACCAAAATCATGGCATCCGGCCCTCTCAATCCTGGCAAATAGATGGGGAAGAAATGGAGGTAGTGACAGATTTTATTTTTCTGGGCTCCAAGATCACCTCAGATGGGGACTGCAGCCAAGAAATTAAAAGACGCTTGCTCCTGGGGAGGAAAGCTATGGCAAATCTAAACAGCATTCTAAAAAGCAGAGACATCACCCTGCCAACAAAAGTGCGTATAGTCCAGGCCATGGTTTTCCCAGTTGCAATGTATTGCTGTGAAAGTTGGACCATAAGAAAGGCTGAGCGCAAAAGAATGGAGGCCTTTGATCTATGGTGCTGGAGAAGACTCCTGCGAGTCCCTTGGACTGCAAGGCGTTCAAACCGGTCAGTCCTAGAAGAGATCAACCCCGACTGCTCTTTAGAAGGCCATATCCTGAAGTTGAAACTCAAGTACTTTGGCCACCTAATGAGAAGGAAGGACTCACTGGAGAAGGGCCTAATGCTGGAAAAGATTGAGGGCAATAGAAGAAGGGGACGACAGAGAATGAGATGGCTGGATGGATTCACTGAAGCAGTAGGTGTGAACTTAAATGGACTCCAGAAGATGGTAGAGGACAGGAAGATCTGGAGGAACATTGTCCATGGGGTCGCGATGGGTCGGACACGACTTCGCAATTAACAACAACAACAGGCAACCTTGGCTCTTTTATGACTCGTGGACTTCAACTCCCAGAATTCCTAAACAGGAATTCTGGGAGCTGAAGTCCACGAGTCATAAAAGAGCCAAGGTTGCCTACCCGTGATTTAAGCTTTTGTGAATCCCACTTGTTTATTATTTTACTATAAAAATAATACATATATTTTAAACTTACCAGTTATCCCAGTTATAGAGAGAAGTTTATCTAGAGAACGTCATTAAGATATTCAAACACAAGAATACGATTTCCAGAAAAAAAATTGGCTAAGGCTTGGTTACTTGTTGCCAACTTAATCCCTAATCCTTATTTTTTTTTTCCCTAGCAGATTTCTGATACATTATTGAAGCTGATTTATTATGCTGTTTATATTTGTTTCTTATCCTTTAAAAAATGTCAGCTATAAAAGCAGAATAAATTATGACAAGGAAAAAATCATGCAAGCACACGGGAGTTACTCAATCTGTCCTGGCACAGTTCTTTAGTGTTCGTGCCATCTTTTTAAGACAACGAAAAATCGCCTGCTATTTTCAAGGTTAAGAATCTGTTAATTAGGCGATCCATTCTCATTTTTGATTTGATACAGACTGTTTAAAATATATACACAGTGTCCTCATTTACTGGTTTATTGTAACAATATATAAGCCCCGGGATGCAGGCAGCACACAAAACCACGCCCCCTCTGGTCTGCGGAAAAACCTCTCTCCACAGAACCGGTCCCTGGTGCCCAAAAGGTTGGGGACCTCTGATGTAGAATAAAAACCAATAAATGATTATCCTTATAGTTAAAGCAAGCCCAGACAGTCTTAGATCAAATAGGATGGAGAACTGAGTTGACTTGATCTGCCTATATATGCCTCAAAATCCATCTCTCTTAAATATTTCCCTTTCTCAGCAATAAAAATACCACTACCTCAACTTACGACAATTGAGCCCAAAATTTCTGTTAAATGAGATATTTGTTAAGTGAGTCTTGCCCCATTTTACGACCTTTACCACAGTTGTTAAGTGAATCACTGTAAGTAACTCGATCGTTAAATGAATCCAGCTTCCCCATTGACTTTGCTTATAAGAAGGTCGCAAAAGGGGATCACATGACTTTGGGACATAGCAATGGACATAGACATGAACCAGTTTGCCAAGCGTCTGAATTTTGATCACATGACCATGGGGATGTTGCAAAGGCTCTAACTGTGGCAAACAGTCATAAGTCACATTTTTCATTGTCCTTGTAACTTTGAATGGTCACTAAACAAACTGTTGTGAGTCGAGGACTACCTGTATTTGTCAGTTTGAATTACACTTTCCCAGCAATAAAGTCTAGATAACTCTACTTCCCAGTTTTTCACTGAAACTTAATGGAATGGAATAGAATAACAGAGTTGGAAGGGACCTTGGAGGTTTTCTAGTCCAACCCCCTACTCAGGCAGGAAACCCTATACCAGGGGCAGGCAACCTTGGCTCTTTTATGACTCATGGACTTCAACTCCCAGAATTCCTGAGCCAGCCATGCTGAGGGGAAAGGGAGAGGTTTCCAAGCGGAGCCATGCTGGCTCAGGAATTCTGGGAGTTGAAGTCCACCAGTCATAAAAGAGCCAAGGTTGCCTACCCCTGCCCTGGACCATTTCAGACAAATGATTACCTGGATGTGGGTAGCAGAGCTGTAGACATCAAGTCATCGGCAGGGATGATGTTTCCACATGGACTACTGCTAGGGACAGGCCCAGGTCTCACTACAGACACCTTCACTTTTTCCCATTTTCCTGGAAACTGAAAGAAGAGGAGGACAAGTAGCATTGTCCATGGAATAACAGAGCTGGATTGGCAGACAGTTAGGAAAACCATATAATGGAGTTTCTCAACCTTGACAGCTTTAAGATTTGTGGACTTTAACTCCCAGAATTCTTCAGCCAGCAAGGCTGCCTGAAGCATTCTGGGAATTGCATCTTAAAGTGGTCAAGGTTGAGAAATGCTGCCATATAGCAGTCCAGCCAAGAATAAAAGACAAATAGTAAGATTAAAATTGTTCAGACTTATATATGCATAAAAAGACTGTGTGTGCCCAGGTTTTGGGGGCCTTGAACGGATTTAAGACAAAAGGAATGGGAGCATGAAGAAGTTTAGAAGCAGGATAGGACAAAGGAGGATTTTGCACAGGCAACACCAGCAAAGGTGTGCGTTCCCTGGACAATTAGTTAAGTGCAACTTTCTTTCTGTGGCAGATTAGCAGAAATCTTTCCAAGCCCCGTATTATTAAACAAAAAGAGAAGACTTGGTTTGAATTCCTTGCTCAGAGGTGGTGGAAATAAACTGAGAAATGAAACATGTTGATCCTGTAAGGATTACTGAGGATCTGCTAGCCAAATGTGACACATATATAACCTGACAAAAAGTTAGAGGCACTTGAGGATATAGGTTCTGGAATCAGCTCCTCCCTGACAATGACATGAGTTGTTAAAGTGTTGTTTTGATGATTGCCATTTTTTAAAAATAAAAACACAAGCCCTACACTTCTGCCTTTAACAGGGATCTTCCAGGCAGCCAACACATTTTTTCCTGGCATGGGGACCAAGTGATGCAATGGGCTCCAGATGTTTTATTTTTATACTGCAGGTTGCTGTGAAAGTAATAAAATCAAAGGGAATATAGTTTGGGAAGTGTAGGCCTCACAGCAGCATAGAGAAAGTGAAATAATACAGTAGACAGAGCCACGTTTCTCAACCACCACAACTTTAAGATGCATGGACTTCAACTCCCAACATGCTGGCTGACAAATTCTGGGAGTTGAAATCCACACAAAAGTTGCCAAAATCGAAAAAAGACTGTAGTAGAAGTTTACAATTCGTAAAAACACCAGATGAAATTTAGCAGCAGACAAAAACGAGTGCAAATTATTTTTTTAAATTTTACAATCATGAAGTTGAAATTCACCATTTTAAATAGTGACCGTGAAAACTATGAGGTTGAAAGATAAAGAAGATACAGACTATTATCAAACTTGGGACCTATTTTATTGTTGGCTAGAGCAGTGTTTCCCAAACTTGACAATTTTAAGGCATGAGGACTTCAACTCCCAGAATTCCACAGCCAGCAACGCTGGCTGTGGAATTCTGGGAGTTGAAGTCCACATGCCTTAAAATTGTCAAGTTTGGGAAACACTGGGCTAGAGGAAAGAATGATTAGGAATTGAACATGCATTAGCATAGCAAACTCCAGACAACTCGTTGATTGGAAAAATTAACATATGTTTATGAAAAAAAAAACCCAGTAAAATCTTTATTAAAAAAAAAAAAGAAAATTTAGGGAATTTGTTAAAGTGATCAATGCAGGTAATCCTTGACTTACGATCACAACTGGGACTGGAATTCTGATTGTTAAGTCATTGCGATCATAAGTATAGTCACCTCTATGACCAGACTCATTTTTTTCAATATTTTTTGTTGCAGTCGTTAAGCGAATCACTTGGCTGTTAAGGAAAATGCCTGGTTGTCAAGTGAACCCATTTTTCCAAACAGGTGTTTGTTTGTTTTTTTGCCAGAAAACGGCAAAGGGTGCAAATCGCGGTCTTGTCGCTAACATGCTTTTATTATGCTGATACCTTTATCTTATAAATCCCTATACACTGATGAGTACAGAATATCTGTCATACATTTTAAATTGTGAAGGGCAGAATTAAATAAAAAAACGTTCGGTTCCCAAAGGATGTATTTCCATGGCAAAGGAGAAGCAACAGAAAGCAGAGCAACAGATGGAAAGTCACAGGGGTCTTACCTGAGGTTCGTAGCGCAGGAGGAGGTCATATTCCATGGAAAATGGCACATTGTTGACATGGAACTGCACCACGCTGCCCTCCAGCACCCGAGCAAACCCCAGCCCAGTCCACGTGACTGGACGGCCAGACAGGTGCACTCGCTGTATGACTTCCGCTCCCTGGCAACAGAAGGACTGGTAAGCGATTACGTTTCCTCAGAAAGCAAGTCTGTGGGGGTAGGCCTCAGCTTAAACGGTTCATTTACTGTCTTTCGAAGTTACAGCAGCACTGAAAAAAGAAGACTTATGACCGGTTTTTACGGTTCCGGCCATTGAAGCATCCCCACGGTCACGTGATCAAAATTCGGTCAACTGACTCATATTTACGACAGCTGCAGTTCCCGGGGTCACAGGATCACCTTTTGCAACCTTCCAACAAGCAAAATCAATGGGGAAGCCAGATTCATTGAACTACTGTATTCCTAATTTAACAACTGAAGTGGTTCGCTTAACAACTGTGGCCAGAAAGGTCGTAAAATGGGTCAAAATTCACTTAAAGGTCTCATTGAGCAACAGAAATCTTGGGCTCAGTTGTGGTCATGTGAAAGACTACCTGTAATGTTACCAAACTTATCAATTCATCATTATTTAACTGAATCAAAAAACTTTCACTAGATCAAGGGGTAGGCAACCTTGGCTCTTTTATGACTCGTGGACTTCAACTCCCAGGATTCCTGAGCCAGCCATGCTGAGGGGAAAGGGAGAGGTTTCCATGCTGAGCCATGCTGGCTCAGGAATTCTGGGAGTTGAAATCCACGAGTCATAAAAGAGCCAAAGTTGCCTACCCCTGTCCTAGACCCACATATCTACCCATTTTCCAGCCCTGAAATTGTCCCCAAAGAAGCTCATAATAAAATAGGATGAAAAAAAAAAGTTAAATAGCAGTAAGTGCAACTAGAGTTAGCTGCAACACACAGCAGACGCTGCATCCGTTCATGTACATCAGTGTTTCCCAAACTTGACAATTTTAAGGCATGAGGACTTCAACTCCCAGAATTCCACAGCCAGCAACGCTGGCTGTGGAATTCTGGGAGTTGAAGTCCACATGCCTTAAAATTGTCAAGTTTGGGAAACACTGATATACATAAACATCTGTTCAGTGCAATACATGCTGCATTTGAATGCTTGTGGGTGGAAAACAGTAATAAAATAAAACAGGAAATTGTCTCCCCAGAGATTCTTGCTAAGGTTATGCAGCTCCTCAGAGAATACAGGTAGTCCTCGAGTTATGATAATTGAGCCCAAAATTTATGTTGCTAAGTGAAACATTTGTTAAGTGAGTTTGGCCCGCTTTACGACTTTTCTTGCCACAGTTGTGAAGTGAATCGTTGCACTTATTAAATGAATCTGGCTTCCCCCCTTGCCTCTGCTTGTCAGAAGTTTGCAAAAAAGGGGATCACGTGATCCTGGGACACTGCAAGTGTCATAAATGTGAACCAGCTGCCAAGCATCTGAATTTTGATCATGTGACTGTGGGGACGCTGCAACGATCATAAATAGGAAAAATTGTCATAACTGTTGTACCACCATTGTAACTTTGAACAGTCACTAAACGAACCGTTGTAAGTTGAGGACTACATGGAAATGCAGCTTTGGTTAGCACAACCACAAGGGAAAGACGTGGCTGCTTTGAGATGCTATAGAAAAAATGCTGCGTTTCTGTTTCCGAACCTTCCAAAGCCCCTTTTGGAGAACGAGCCCAAAGCCCAGCATTTGCTTTCTTTCTTTCTTTCTTTCTTTCTTTCTTTCTTTCTTTCTTTCTTTCTTTCTTTCTTTCTTTCTTTCTTTCTTTCTTTCTTTCTTTTTTTTTTTTAAAAAAGCATCTCTTCAAAACCGCCATTTGTATTTACAGGGTTAAAACTTCACTAAGGGTTAAAAAGTTTTGCTTCTTTGCTTCCCCTCTGCTGCTTAGAACAAACCTTGTGTGTGTGAACTGAGTGTGGCATTTAGGATCATGCCCAGGATTTGATTTATAAATGTGGGTGTGAGTAAATTTGGCAGCAGGTAAAGCTGAGAGCCCTCCCCTCCCCCCAATCAGCATTAAGTCCTTACTCTGCGTCTTGTCCTCACTGGATCATTTAGCAACGAAATATAAAATTACCTAGTTTTACTGTCTCTGCCCCGTGGCGAGCCTGAGCCCACACAAGAAAGCTACTGTCAACGCTAACATCGGACGTTCTTGCTTTGACAACATATGGAGATGCAGCCATTTTCCTTTACTTTATGTTTTACTCTTAGAGTTAGAATTAGATCAGTGTTTCCCAAACTTGACAATTTTAAGGCATGTGGACTTCAACTCCCAGAATTCCACAGCCAGCATTGCTGGCTGTGGAATTCTGGGAGTTGAAGTCCACATGCCTTAAAATTGTCAAGTTTGGGAAACACTGAATTAGATGATACTGGGTGGGGGGAGGAGGAGGAATGTGCATGGGAGATTAGTTAGACAAAACAATACTGTATAAGGGTGAGAGCCAAGGCTGTTTGTAATAAGAGATGATAAGACATGGCGAATGAAGAACTGGTGGGAACATTTCAAACTAATTGGAGTATGTGATTTATGACTGTTAGTTAGAGGAGAGAATTGTGCTTTCATACTATGTGCTCAGGGGAGGGGAAGTCAGATTTTGGCTTTGACTATGTACATGCTGATGCTATGCTACTCGAATAAAGATTCTTTAAGATAAACAATGCCTCCAAGTTCTTTGAAGAGTTTCATCTGTCGGAACCATGACAGCTACTTTCTGACAGCTCCCAGGTAATTCTTTGCCATTCCTCACCTGGTGGAGGCGGGCTTCTTCTGCCTCGTATGTATAGTGATCCAACACTATGCGATAATAGCCAGTTTGAACTTGATTACACTGTCGGCCCACTATATGGCTACGGCAGCGACATTGTCCTGTTTCTGTAGCACATCTGTGAAAAGAAAAGGGACCAGGTTCAAAATAGGCAAACGGTTCTCCCAAGTATGAGGCCCTTGGTGCACTCTGAGCTTGGTTGTTTTCTTGAGACAATCAAAAAGTCAAAAAAAGGAAACAATACATCAACCAAGGAACTACTGTACAAACTTGGACAAATAAGCTAACAGTAAACAGCCTAATTAAGGAACCACCAAGAACACTCCCACTGATACTGAAGGGGTCGCCACAATGTAAAAAAGATTCTGAGACTCTAGAAAGAGTGCAAAGAAGAGAAACAAAGATGATCAGGGGGCTGAGGCTAAAACATGAAGAATGGCTGCAGGAATTGGACACTGGCTGAAGAATTCTGGGAATTGAAGTCCACAAGTCATAAAAGGGCCAAGTTTGAAGACCCCTGGTCTAGTTTAATGAAAAGAAGGACTAGGCATGATATCTAGGGACTGCCACAAAGAAGAGGGAGTCAAGCTATTTTCCAAAGCGCCTGAAGGCAGGACAAGAAGCAACGGGTGGAAACTAATCAAGGAGAGAAGCAACCTAGAACTAAGGAGAAACTTCCTGACAGTTAGAACAATTAACCAGTGGAACAACTTGCCTCCAGAAGCAGTGAATGCTCCAACACTGGAAGTTTTTAAGAAGACATTGGACAACCACTTGTCTGAAGTGGTATAGGGTTTCCTGCCTGAGCAGGGGGTTGGACTAGAAGATCTCTAAGGTCTCTTCCAACTCTGTCATTCTGTATATAAAACTAAGAGCAGACTCCACTCCTTTCTAGCATTGATGATGTTACCTAGTTTGGTAATGAAACGACTGCCAAAAAACAAAAACCAACCAAGCTCAGAGAGCATCAAAGATCCCATAGTCCAACCCTGAGCTACAAATAGTCTCTTCTATCAGTTCTTCCAAGTGACAACAGGCCTACCCATCTTCTCCTCAGGGGATTAAACTGGCCCTGATCTGCTGGAGGTTTACACTGAAGCTAAATAGGTTCTGGCCTGGTGGGTGCTTCTAGGGGAGAACTGAGCATCTGTCTTACTTGCTGAATTATAAAGATGAAGTAAGTAAGAATAGAGTTCTCTCTCTCTTGCCTCTCCTCCCACAGTTATCTGATTCTTCACCACCTCCAATAACTTTCTATTTCACTTTCCATCCATCCCATCTCGTGTTTCTCATCCTAGATATTGCATGGATAATACTGCACCCATTTCCCCCCTCATCTTTGCTCACAGAAGTGTAGCTGTAATTCCTTACTGGTTGTCGTAGGCACCCCCTACATCGCAATCACAAGGACGGCAGCCACGCAGATCGAGACTCAAAGCCCAGTGTTCAGGCTGGAAGGCAACATAAGATTCTTTAGTCCAAGAGAGACATAATGCACATATAAGGCTGTCAAGGGATACTTACTGTCTAGTACAGTGGTTCTCAACCTTTTTAATGCCGTGACCCCCAACCGGTCGTAAGTCGAGGACTACTCAACCGGTCGTAAGTCGAGGACTACTCAACTGGTGCAGCACCGTTTGCAGAATGGGACTTTTGGCGGGCTCAGCAGGGCAGAGACGCCTGGACAATTCCTATTGGCTTTTGAAAGCCAATAGAATTAGACTCTATTCAAGAGAGTCTATTCTATTGGCTTTCAAAAGCCAATAGAATAAAAGGGAGTAGCACAGCTAAGGAAAAGGGGAAAAAAATGGCGGACTGCGTTGTTTGGCGACCCCCGTGAAATTGTCGTTCGACCCCAAATGGGGTCCCGACCCACAGGTTGAGAACCGCTGGTCTAGTACTTACCAGGCACTGATTACAGCTGCGCCCAGAAACCAAGCGTTTGCAGAAGCAATCCCCTGTGATGGCATCACATCGAGGGCCCTCTTGGACTGTGCCTCGGGGGTCACACTGGCAGCCTGTTAAGTCAAACATGGCACAAACTCACCCCTGTCTCAAGGATTTCCCGGTTTATCGATCCTTAAGGATTATATACCCCCACTGAAGAATCATTCCCAGCTTTTTGGGGACAGCCACTAGAGTCCTTATCTTCTTTAGTTAGGGTTTTGTCAAACGTGGGAAAATCAGAAGTCCAAGCAGTTCAAATGAACGTGAAGGTTTATGGCATGCTTATGTTCTCTACAAGAACCTGATTTACTAATGTTCAAAGCAAATTGGCAGTAGTAAGAATCAATGGAATTCAAGATGGGCTGGACTTCAATCTCTTGTGGGTGAGAAGGGGCCTGAGACTTGACCTGTTTGACCCCCTTCCTTGGGCTCAGCCTGGTCATTTCCTACAGGTTTGACAGACAAGCTGAAGTTTTAACCGGTGAGTTTTAGGACCAGAGTTTCAAACGTAACCTTCATTTTGTTCCTTATGCCACACAGGCTAAGTTTCACTGTCTTAAGAAAATCCATTCCAAGAGACCACCAGCCAGAGCTGAAGTCACACGGGGTTCCCTAGAGGAAAGCCCGTCTCAGCCCAGGAGAACCCATCAAGAAGAAAGGTACCTACGCTGGCATCCTTGTGGGTTTTCTGCACTCAGTCCGAAGAACCCAGACTTGCATCTGTCACAACGGGGCCCCTCTACATGCTCCTTGCACCGACACTGCCCGGCAATCAGCCCCAGCATTGGATCATCATGTGTGTCACACACCCCGCCATCTAATGTCCCATCAGGGTCACAGTCACAGGCTACATGGCAGAGGAGAAAAAAAAAGGAATTGTGCTCAAGGAATACTTGGAAGGAATGGCCACAATTCAGAATCTAAAGGAACAGCCAGCAGGGAACAATTAACACACCACTATTTTCAGATCCAAACTAAAAAAAAAACCAAAAAAACCCAAATCCTGACCATTTTTTCATAGATTATTTATTACTGGTTAATAATGTTGCTAATAGAAAAGATGAGATACTACATGTAGTCCTCAACTTATGACCAGTCACTTAGTGACTATTCCATTATGACAGACCTTGCTAATGCTATTTAAGACCCGGATACGACCTCCCCCAGGGTCACGTGACTGCATTTTGGGTGTTCAGCAACCAGCCCATATTCATGGCCATTTGCCGTGTCCCACGGTCACGTGGTTGCAATGTACGATTTGGGTTTTTTTGCATTTACTTCCAGTTTCCAGCAAAAAATTGTGGAGAGTGGATTCGCTTAACAACCATGGTGTTCATTTAACGACGATCATTCATTTAATGACCATTGCAAAAAAATGTTGTAAAATGGTCATCTGGTGACTCTTTAATAAGCAGCATGGCTTGCAACTCTTATTCAGTTATGGTTATAAGTTCAGGATTACCTGTAGACCAGTGTTTCTCAACCTTGACAATTTTAAGGCATGTGGACTTCAACTCCCAGAATTCCACAGCCAGCAATGCTGGCTGTGGAATTCTGGGAGCTGAAGTCCACATGCCTTAAAATTGTCAAGGTTGAGAAACACTGCGTAGACTCTCTTTCTTCCTTCAAGCCTGTGTGGAAACACTGCCCTTTGACTTCCTAACACTTTGCTGAACCTTGGCAACTTTAAGATGTGTGAATACCTTTTAAGGCTGAAAAACACAGTGCTGAATTCTCCACTCTGCTAATTGGCAATGAAGAAACAGGCAGCCAACCTGCAGATGGATGTGGAGAGCAGTGCTTACTGAATGCACAATGAAAATGCTGGCTCCAAAGCCTCTAATCTAGCTTTTGCAGATTGTCACTTAATGCTTTGTGCTGCTGTTGATCAGCAGGGTTCTGTCTATACGTTCGGGGAAACTCGACAAAGCCCCATTATAAAGCATTGCACTATTTTTATGGTAGCAGGGGCACCGATATACTTTGCGGATCTGAGATGGAAAACAAAACCAGCCATTCCCAAGAAGGATTATTTTTGTCTTGTTCAAATGTACCAGGCCACATTTAAGAAGGCCGGAGGTATTTCTCAATCCTCAGAAACACCACTGAACAATCGAAGCACAATTTCCCATTGATTTGGCAGGATGGAAGCATTGTGGTTAGCGCTGGGTAGAGATGGCTTTTCAAAATACTCCACCATTTTGGGAGAGAAATAAAGCAGGAGGATAGGTTAACTTTCTCTAATGGAGAGAGAAATTCTCCTACAGTTTCTTGGGAATTTTTCTCAGCATTGACTGAAGTTCTACTCCTAAAAAAACCCCATGGAGGGAATTCCTTATATGTCCTCCTTAGGGACTTCATTGAAGTCTGGGAAGTCAGAAGATGCTGTCCCTGGTGAGATGACTGAATAAAAAGAGGACAATTAGCATATCTCCTTAGCTACTTTTCAGCTAAGTACAGGTGCTCCTCACTTAAAGACCAGTCCCTTTTCAAGCGTCCAAAGTTATGACGGACCCTCCCAAAAGCTATGTACAATCTGGTCCCAAGGTTCTGATGGTTCCACGCCATCCCCGCCACAGTCACATACTTCATGTGACTCTTAAAGCTTCGGGGGTTTAATTTTCAACAGAGGTTCAAAGGGCAGATAGAACCTGTAAATATCAGGGGACCAGATGCCTACATACAGGTAGTCTTCGACTTACGACTACAACTGAGCCCAAAATTTCTCTCGCTGAGCGAGACAGTTTGTTAAATGAGTTTTGACCCATTTTATGACCTTTCTTGCCACAGCCCTGAAGCGAATCATTGCAGTCGTTAAGTCAGTAACACAGCTGTTAAGTGAATCTGGCTTCCCCATTGACTCTGCTTGTCGGGAGGTCTCAAAAGATGATCACGTGACCCCGGGATATTGCAACCGTCATAAGTACATGCCAGTTGCCAAGTGTACCAATTCTGATCACGTGACCGTGGGATTGCCTCAACGGTTGTTAAGTGTGAAAAGTGGCCAGAAGTCACTTTTTTCAATGACGGTGTAACTTTGTATGGCCATTAAACAAATTGTTGTAAGTTGACAGTTACTTGTATTCTCATCCTCCAACTCTCCCAGTGGTGAGGAATGGGGCTGGTCCTCAAGAAAATCCCTCTCTTCCTGCAGATTCTCAGGTCCTGAATCCATTTGCTTCCCTCCGCAGCTGTTACCCCCCCCTTACCTCGGCACATGCCAGGATCACGAATATCCTTGGTGGGATCCTTGTAATAGAATGGCTTGCAGAACTGGCAGTGGTGGCCCATGGTGTTATGCTGGCAATCATCACAGACCCCACCATGGACGTTGCCCGTGGCCAGGTACACAGCCATGTCGAAGTGGCACCGGTGGGAGTGTTCGTTGCAGTTGCATTCTGAGGAGAGCAAGAATGCAAAAGTGCTTCGCTCTAGACTCCATCGGCCAATGATGCTTCCCACCCTCCAACCACATCGGAAAAAGCACCTGAGAGAGAGCACAGAAATACATCCCCTGTATCACCTGATTAGGAGGTAGAGGTGCTTCCTTAATCTTGTTTGTTGCCTTTTGGTGAAACGGAAGCTGGCCCCAGCCAGCAGTCTATGCACACAAGAGTGCGTGGCTGCTGAGACCTGTCCAAAACCCGAGATAGCCCATCTCTAAACCCCTTCACACATTAAGAGTTTCCTGCCCATAATTTATTTCCTTGCATGTCTGCGCGTCAACCATCCTGCGGGATCTGTTTGACCAGGATCTGTGGGTCCCTCTACCACCTAAGAATTCATTCACTGTTCCTGCTTGAAAGATAGGTTTTTTCTGTGTGTATAAAATACTACGTTAAATAATGGACAAGTTGCTTTGCTGCACTCTAGCGAACATGTGCTCATTACAAAGCCCATAAGGAAGAGATCTGTGATCTTCCAGATGTTGCTATACTTAAATACTCCTAGCATCCCTCACCCTAGGCAATGTTCACCATATTTTGGGGAGTGACATCTGGAAGGCTTCAGGCTACTATATCCTTCAGGGGAAGGGAGTCTTTTATGTCAGAGGTCCCCAACCTTTTGGGCACCAGGGACCGGTTCCATGGAGAGGGGTTTTTCCATGGACTGGAAGGTGTGTGGTTTTGTGCGCTGCCTGCATCTCGCAGATGGAGCTTTGCTTGTTTGTGCAGCCCAGTTGCTGGCATGCTGCGGCCCGGTATTGGTCCACAGACTGGGGGTTGGGGACCTCTGTTCTATGTGGTAAATGTCTTATAATAATAATTGGTAGAGTATGTGTCTTTACCAACAACACCCTTCCTCTAAGGTCCCCTACATAAATGTTTTGGGAGGACACAGTCCGTTTGTGACCTCACAACCTTCCCCAATTTGTCTTTAGAGGCACTACAGGGTTCACACTCACTCTTGCAGGCATTTGTGCGGCGTCCCTCAGCTGGGCGCCAGGGCAAGTCATGGTAAAAGTCCTTGCACAGCTCACAGTTCAGCCCTTTGGTGTTGTGCTTGCAGACGCAGCGACCGTGAACCTGTTGGTAGATGAAGAAAGGTGACAACACAAACCTCAATAGCAGAGGGCAGACCCTCCACAAGCACAGACCAGGCCATGTGGTCTAGGTCTATTCTTTAAGTTTGTGGCATCCTGTGCAAGGGCTTTTAAAAAAAGAATGATAATGGTCCTCAAGATAACAAAAGACAAAAGAGAACAGTCCTCTGGTTTGGAAGGAAAAGTCCATACATTTTGCAGCCAAAGCACAGAAGTATATTTCTTTCAGCCTGGTTAATTTATTTATCTCTTGCTTTTCTTCCATCACAAAAAGTCCAAAAATTGTGCATGAACTGCAAATCCGACTGATTCAGCAATAAGTAGACTGGAGCAGGCAACACTATTCTAGGAGGAACTATATTTTACTTTTAAAAGAATAGTTTTACTGGCCTCACATTTATAATGGTGGCAGCTCAAAGGGGAAAGGATGATGTTTTGAGTCATTTTTTTCATTTGGGGAAGTGGAATAGGATTTGAAGTGTGATAGCTACAGGTAGTCCTTGACTTACAACCACTCATTTAATGATTGTTCGGTTGTGTCAGTGGTTAAAAAAAAGACTTACAACAGGTCCTCGCAATTATACAGTCACAGTGTCCTCATGGCTCCATGATCAAAATTCAGACACTCGGCAATGTTGCATTTACAACAGTTATAGTCCCAAGGTGGTGGCGCATTGGTTAGAATAGTTAGAAGGCAGTACTGCAGGCTAATTCTGCTAACTGCCAACAGTTCGATTCTCACCAGCTCAGTGTTGACTCAGTCTTCCATCCTTCCAAGGTCGGTAAAATGAGGACCCAGACTGTTGGGGGGGCAATATGCTGCCTCTGTAAACCACTTAGAGAGGGCTGTAAAGCACTGTGAAGTGGTATATAAGTCTAGGTGCTAAGGTCATATGATTGTCATTTGTGATCTTCCCAGTTGGCTTTTGACACACAAAGTCAATGCGGGAAGTCAGATTCATTTAAATATGTGGCCAAAAGGTCATAAAATTGGGTGTGATTCATTTAATGACTGCATCACTTAGCAATGGAGGTTCTGATCCCAATTGTGCTTGTAAGTCGAGAACTACTTGCACGGTAACCGCGGAAAGAAGCCTCATACTCCTTATGGAGTTTTGTTATTGCTATTATTGTTAAAAAGGGTCAAATATTATATTACTGAATGCCTGATATGAGAAAGGAGCCCTTTTTCAGAGGAAAAAACATAGATGGGGACACATATGGCCTGTGAGTTACATGATGGCTCACCATAATGTAGATTTGGAAAACTCTTAACGAAACTGCATGGTTCCGAATCCAACTGTTGGGCATAGCAGTAGCGTTTCTGATTCAGTAACAGCTTCCACTTTTGTATTAATGGGAGAACTACTACTATTACTACTACTACTACTATTTCTTCTCCTCCTCCTCCTCCTCCTCCTCCTCCTCCTCCTCCTCCTTCTTCTTCTCCTTCTTCTTCTTCTATCTTATTATTATTACTATTACTATTATTACTTGTTGAATATTTCCCTCAACTATAGCCCCTTAAGGCAAAGCCAGATCCATAAGGAGGGGGCCATTAATGATGGGGGTTGGAGGAGCATGGTATTTTCTCTGCTTAGTATCATAGAGCTGGAAGGGACCTTGAAGGTCTTCTAGTCCAGGGGTTTGCAACCTTGACAACTTGAAGACTTGTGGACTTCAGCTCCCAGAATTCCTCAGCCAGCTATGTTGGCTAAGGAATTCTGGGAGCTGAAGTCCACAAGTCTTCAAGTTGTCATGGTTGCAGACCCCTGCTCTAGTCCAATCCCTGCCCAAGGCAGGAGTCGTTACACCATCTTGGACAAATGGTTGGTCAGTCTTTTCTTGAAAACCTCCAGCAATCGAGCACTTACAGCTCCAGTGGAGGCAAGCTGCTCCACTGACCAATTGTTCTCCCAGACAGGAAATTCCTCCTTATTCCTAGGCTGGATCACCTTCTGGCACCCTTCCACCCACTGCTTCTGGTCCTGCCCTCAGGTGCTGTGGAGAATAAATTGATACCCTCTTCTCTGTGACAGCTCTTCAACGTACGGCCACAACTGAGCCCATCATTTATGTTGCGAAGTGAGAAATGTGTTAAGTGTTTATTGAGTTTTGCCCCATTTCTTGCCCTACTGGAACCACCGCAGTTGTTAAATCAGTAAGACGGTTGTTAAATGAATCTGGATTTCCCCACTGACTTTGCTCGGCGGAAGGTTGACAAAGGGGATCACGTGACCCTGGGACACGGCAACAGTCATAAATGTTAGTCAGTTGCCAAGTGTCTCAATTTAAATCACATGACCATGGGGATGCTGCAGCGGTCGTAAGTATGAAAAGTAGTCATAAGTCAGTGTTTCAATGCCATTGTAACTTTGAACGGTTACTAAGCCAGTGTTTCTCAACCTTGACAATTTTAAGGCATGTGGACTTCAACTCCCAGAATTCCACAGCCAGCTTTTAAGGCATGTGGACTTCAACTCCCAGAATTCCACAGCCAGCATTGTTGGCTGTGGAATTCTGGGAGTTGAAGTCTACATGCCTTAAAATTGTCAAGGTTGAGAAACACTGTACTAAGCAAACTGTTGCCTGTTGGAAGATGCTATCGTGTCTCTCCTGAGCCTTCTCTTCATTAGGCTAAACATACTTCGTTCTCTTAGCTGTTCATCATACAATCTAGCCTCCAGGGCCCTTTGTTGCTGCTCTCTGCACTCTTTCTAGGGCAGGGAGTCTTCCAACTTGGCCCTTTTATGACTTGTACTTCAACTCCCAGAATTCCTCAGTCAGGCGTGCCTGGCTGAGGAATTCTGGGAGTCGAAGTCCACAAGTCATAAAAGGGCCAAGTTGGAAGACCCCTGTTCTAGAGCCTCACCATCTTTTCATTGCTGTTGTTACCAGGAAGCCTTACCATGCTTTCCACAGCAGTAGGGTTGCCAGTGAGCGGGGCACACTCCGAGGCATGCCCATAGCAGAAGCAGTTGCCCCGCAGCACCATCTCATACACTGCAAAGTAGTATTTCTCCTTGATTTCCCGGCGGGAATCCAAGAGGTTGTCTCCCAGCGTGTGCAGTCTAGTCAGGTTCATCCTCAGATTGGTGACTTTCAGGAGATCTGGGCATTGAAATCATGAGATGCAAGAAGATCGTAAGATGGTGGTGAGAAAGCAAGAAGCGTGACCGTTTTAGATTGGCTGGCTTCTACAAAGCATCAGCTGGAGTCAGAAATATCTGCACCGCACTAAGGAGGAGGGAAGGCAGGGAATTCCGAACGCCCAGACAGATCCTTGGAGCCAATAGTGTAATTGCTAGAGCAAAAAATACATCGAGGGCCAAAATTAACTAGCCTGAAATAGGGCAAAAGACAAGGCCAGCTGCAGACTGCATTGCAATCAGAGTGAACTAACTAATTAGCTAAATAAATCTCTCCCTCTTTATATCTGCATGTGCCTGCGTCTGTGTGCCTAGGATATCTTCTCTTTGGGAAGAGATTCTTGTGGTGATAGCATGTTTACCCAGCATTTTGGTGTCTACTGGGGAGTATCTATTTTTCAGAAGAGTCATCGAGTTGGAAAAGAACTGGAAAAGTTGGAAAAGTCATTTCCCTGCCAAGGCAAGAAATCCCTGGATACTCCTTCGCCCATGATAAATGGCTGTGCAGTTTCTGCTTAAAATACTCCAGTGGGATATTCTGGATATGGAACGGCCTGCCTTTGGAAACCATTCTCGTCAACAAGCTGAAATTTAACAACTGAGAATAAAGAAATGGCCTTCTCCAAAGAGATGACTTTCAAATATGTATTCTTATCCCCATTGCTATGGCATCTAAGAATTTTAGAAGCTATAGTAGTCTCAACATATCTGGATGTCACCAAAGGAGCAAAAGCTTTACTTAGCTACATGTAAAATGGTGTGGTCCATTCCTGGAATGCTCCAGTGTTCCCTGGAGCATTGCATTCCCCCCACCCACCCCCCAGAACATGCTAACTCAGCTATTTGGGCTTTTCCCGAAATAAATCTGGAACAGGAAAGAATTCGCAATATTTTGGACATGGCTGAAAATCTCAAAAGGAGGTGTAATATATTAAGTCTTTTTTACACCTCAAACCAATGCTCTACTCCAGTGATGGCAAACCTTTTAGAGACCGAGTGCCCAAACTGAAACCCAAACCCACTTATGTATCGTCAGATGCTGGGTGGGCGTGGCCCATGGAGTGGGCATGGTCCATTGGGTGAGCGTGGCTGCAGTGGTAACGGCAGACTGGGTGGGACTAAAAAATTCAATCAATCAGTTCCAACTTTGCGAGATCTTTTTTTTCCGTGAAGTTGAAATTGATTGATTGATTGAAACTTTTTTTTTGCACACGGCAGAGGCCTAAAGCGAAAAGGTTTCATAAAACCCAGCTGAAGTCCTAGCACTGGGGTGACAATGCGCATGCCCAGAGAGGGCTCTGTGTGCCACATGTGGCACAGGTTCGCCACCACAGCTCTACTCCATTGTTTCTCAACTGTGGCAACTTTAAGGTATCTGGACTTCAACTCCTAGAATTCCTCAGCCAAAATGCTGGCTGGGGAATTCTGGGAGTTGAAGTCCACATATCTTAAAGTTGCTAAGGGTTGGGAAATACTACTTTATTCTTTTCAGCCCAGAATCCCCCTCCCCAAAAAAAGACTCACTCTGAATTTTTGGACTGTAGGGATCGTGGATTGGAATAGCTGGATCCAGCACTCTGTAGATGACCTAGAACAAAGAAGAAAGGCATAACGTAGAGAAGAGAAAGAGCCCCAGCTGAGTGCAATAGCTTTGAGTAGAGGTACTCCTCAACATACGGCTATAATGGAGCCTGCTGATCTCTGACCTACCCAATTTTACAACCTTTTTTGCGGAGATCGGAGATCGTTAAGTGAACCGATGATGTACTATGGCAAGGTTTTGCTGAAAACCGGAAGTTCTGGTTTTTAGCAAAACTGTCATAAAATGTGACAGGCAGGATGCCACAAAGGGCTGTAAATGCCCTACCTGTCCGCAGGATGCCACAAAGGGCTGTAAATTTAGCCATGTTGCTGAGTGTGCCAAGTTTGATCATGTGACTTCAGAAAGTGTCCAACTGGAGAACTTCAACTCAGATTGTAAGTCCCCCTTTTCAGGTTGGTCGTAACTTTGAATGGTCACTAAGCAACAGGTTAGTAAATCAAGGACTATCTATACTCAACTTTGCAGCCCCGAGGCCAGGAGTCACACTCACCTCCCCTTCTGTAGAAGGTTCAATGTCCGAGTACCGCGACTCACAGATAACGTCATCCACGCGTCTCAAGGGTCCCAGGGAGGCAGTGGGGAAAGATGCGGCACAGTCATAGGCAAAGTAGCGGTACACCTGCCAGGTGCGCCCAAAGTCTGCTGAGCGCTCCACCAGCATAGCTGCAGGTCGGAAGGTCTGCAGGGTAGAAATGGTGACTCAACAAATTACTCCAAACTGGACTGGAGGTCTACAAGAATCACTTTGTGTGTCTTCAGGTTATCATCTGAAGTGCTGCTCAGCTTTTAGTTCTTACTATAATTCTATTATTGTCTGCAATTAAAATTGCACTATTATTATTATTAATAGTAGCAGTATCATCACAATCATTATCGTCATCGTTATTAATTGTCTACTTTATATCTTGCCTGGAATGAAGATGGATTGAGACAGGGTATAAATAAATAAAATAAAATAATGAGATGCGATAACGATAAAGGAATAAATAAATATGGGTGACCCAGACCCTATGCTCATATATTTTGTGTAAATATCTATCAGCCCTTCAAGAAACAGACATCACAAAAATTCTAGAGTTTTACTTTATGGATATACCAGGCTATCGATATTGATTTGGTTTAAGGAAGGAAGAGAAAATATCATCAGACTTCCATAATAGAATGATGGAAGTCTGATATTTCCCTTTCCCTCTTTAAACCAAAAAGAATCAAGGAGAGGCAATCTTGAGTTTCTTTCTCACACTTTCTATTTTCCTGGGCTAAGTTTCATGAATAGTTGTCACCTATTTTCTCCAAGGTTATCTCTATATTCCTCCACATGGTCCTAGATTTGTATGTTATGGGTACGCTATCAAGGATACAATCAACCCTTGATTTAAGAACCTCAGTTAGAACAATTAACCAGTGGAACAACCTGCCTCCAGAAGTGGTGAATGCTCCAACACTGGAAGTTTTTAAGAAGAGACTGGACAGCCATTTGTCTGAAATGGTATAGGGTTTCCTGTCTGAGCAGGGGGTTGGACTAGATGACCTCCAAGATCCCTTCCAACATTATTATTATTATTATTATTATTATTATTATTATTATTATTATTATTATTATTATTATTATTAATGGATAAAGTGTACTGAACAGGGCTATGCTATGCTACAACGGTGGAAGGGGTGTTGCTTTAGGGAAGGGAAGGGAATTTAACAAAGCCATATTTAGTGTACTGTACATGCCTTCCCCTCAATAATCCATCAAATCTAGTGCTATACCTATATATGCCAACATAATAGATGAAATTTGGCATTTTACAAAGTAGTTTTATAAGGTTATTTCCCCACATTTCACAAGAAGAGTCGTTTCTACCATTGTATACAATGGAATTTCTGTCTTATAGGAAATTGCATACAAGTGTGTTGCCTTTAGATATGCAGACAGGAAAATTGCCATGGAAATGTGCATTTATTCTTTACTTTAAATAAAGCCCCCACCTCTTTGTGAAGAACTGTATAAGGCTACAAAGTCTCCCCAAAGATAAACTCATTCATGCCTCTCCACGAAGAAGGCATTGTGTGGGAATTCTCTCCTGGAGAAGGAGCCATCTATGGTCACATGGAACTTACCTTAAAAGTCATGATTAAGTGCGTGAAGTGGAATTCAGCCTCCAAGTCCAGGCGGATACTGACTTCCTCCACTCCTAGAGAAATAGATGGGAGGCGGGATGGACCCCAGAAAAATATTTAGGGCAATTGCTTTTGACCTAATTTTATTTATTTATTAAATTTATATACTACCCATGTTGCTATTTGAAGCAACTCTAGGGGAGCTCTTTTGGAAGGGAATCTAAGACTCCTCTGAAACTTTTTGGGATTCTCCTTATAGAAAATGAATAATAGTGATGACTCAATTTCCTGAATGACAGATGGTCCACTATTGCTGTTCTTCCCCTCCAAACTACATTGGATAGTATTTTTTCAACCTTAACAACTTTAAGATATGTGGACTTCAACTCCCAGAATCCCTAGCCAGCATGGCTAGCTGGGGAATTCTGGGAGTTGAAGTCCACATATCTTAAAGTTGCTAAGATTGAGAAACACTGTTGTTGGGTATCTAAGAACCATAGTAAACCCCCTTCCCCCTTCTATATGTACAACATGCAAGGATACCTTAGCTCCAAAATCCCACCACCAACAGCTGACAAGGAAGTCAGACCTCTTTTAACAAAACTTTCCGACCACCACTTACTACCTTGTAAACCATACAAATGGTAGGAAAGAGTTCCTGAATTTAGGCACTCTAATAAGATTTTGCCATTAGGTAAGACAGTTGAGCTATAAAGAAATGAATCCAAATTTCTGCATTCATGATCCAAGAATGTAATTCCAGATAATACTATTGTATTGGTAATATATTGGATTATTTTATGTATGACTTTTTATAACTGAGTTTACTAGCTTCCTGGGAGTAAGCACGGGGCATCTTAAATTATACATATATTCACAATGTTTTTTGCAAAGTAACAAAGAGTTAGGTCAGTTTCACTCCCCTAGAATGGTGCAATTTTTCTCTCTTAAATGGTTCCCCTGACCCAAATAATCTCCTCTTACTCCTTTTTAAGAACACATAAAAACCCTTTTGGGGGGGGGGACACTGTGTTGGGCTGATAAAATATTGCTCTGGTGTTAATATTGTAAGCAAACTATTGTTTTGATTGCTTTCTTTTCTGGCTGCCAATTGCCTCCCTGTGATTTTTTTTTTTTTTTTTTTTTAAAGCTGAGAATGGGAAAAATGATTCATCCTGTCCACCCTTCTCCCATCTGGAACAAAGCATAAGAGCAACTCCCGATGATGAATCCAGGCAGAAGAAGCACCTGAGAACTTTGTGGAACCACCAGAAGACCTGGTTAAGGAGACTTGAGCTCTAAACTGCGTGGGCGTTTTTGGATCCAGAGAGAGACACTCTAGCTGTCAGAGGTCAGTTGCTGGTACTGAGTTCCTCTCTGAATAGCTGGCTCTTCCTGTAGGCGCCTCCACCCCCACCTGGCAAAAACCGGAGGAAGAAGGGACTTGGCTGTACATGATTCAGCATTTCCCCTGCGTGGGAGTGAAAGGAAAGCAACAGGACTCTGGGGAAGCCCTCTCTCTTGCTCTGCCTCGGAGGTGACATGTTCTCTAAACAAAGAACACGCAGATCCAGGGCAGGCCAAATCAACTGTGAGGCTGGCTTGCTGCAGAGAAACATGGAGTAGCGCAGCAAGGAAGAAAGTGGCTGTGAGTATCTAAGAGTCCTGCTGGTAGACAGCTTATAACACCCTTGAGATGACGCATAAGGCATCAGGCAATCCAGCTCCCATCAGCTTCACCTCTCCTTCACAGAGGATTGTGCGCGACGGTAAAACATCTGAAGGGTGACTTGGTCACTAGAGGTTGAGTAGTCTTAGAGCAGGGGTCCCCAATCCCTGGGCTGTGGACCAGTACTAGGGCACAGCATGCCAGCAACCGGTCCGCACAAACAAACAAAGCCCCATCTGTGGGATGCAGGCAGCACACAAAATCACACATTCTCCGGTCCGTGGAAAAAACTTTCTCCACAGAACCGGTCCCTGGTGCCCAAAAGGTTGGGGATCTCTGCCCTAGAGGACTTTCTGATGTTTTCCTTGTTATCTTTTAAAAGGCCTCAACGCACCTTTCTTGGAAAGCTTTTGACTTACTCATGATCTTAATCTTTGATTATTGTAGTTTTCATTTCATAGGTTTATTGTAAACTGCCAAAATATTGTAGTATAGGGAGGCTTCAAGTTACAAGCATAATGGAGCCTGCCCGTCACCGTCATCATTCATGAGGGTCATAACCCATGATGATTTTACAATCTTTTTGTGGCACTTGTTAAACAAATCACCCCTGTTGTTAAGCGAATCAGTGGTCGTTAAGTGAAGGCTTGTTATAGTTATAGACAAATAAATGCCAGGTTTTGGCAAAACCATCATAAAACACAATCTTGTGACTACGGATGCTGCAAGTATCCCTAAATGAAGCCTGGTTGCTAAGCGCCCGAAGAGTGGTCATGTGACCACTGGGGGCCAAAACCATTGGAATTTCAATTCCAAGTCTTAAATAATCCCCAGGTTAAGTCTGTTGGAAATTCAAACAGTTTCTAAGCAATGGGTCGTAAGATGAGAACTACTTGTATTCAGCAATAAATCTTATAGTGTAATAAATCTAAAGTCTAATAAATAAAGAGATTATTCTGCAATTATCCAGCCTCACTGATGACATTTAATGGGGGGAGGGGGCAGATGATCACACGGCATCACTTGTAGGGTGGTTAAGATAATTGGAGAACAATTATGGTGTTCTACTATGAAAGATAGCTTCATTTATTTAGTTATTTATCGTGTTTTCCCCAAAATAAGACCCAACCAGAAAATAAGCCCTAGCATGATTTTTCAGGATGATCGTAATATAAGCCCCACTCCCAAAATAAGGCCCAGTTAAGATCGTCAGCCAGACGGACGCATTTAGTACCATATTTCTCCAAAATAAGACCTAACTGGAAAATAAGCCCTAATGCATCTTTTGGAGCAAAAATTAATATAAGACCCAGTCTTATTTTCAGAGAAACATGGCAACAACAATTAAAAAAACATAGTTAAAAACACACCCTTCCCGGCAGATGCTAGACCACACACCTTTACAGCCCAACTCCCCATGAGGGGTCCTTGATATTCTCTGAGTTTGGTTGTTTTCTTGCAGACGTTTCATTACAAACTAGATAACATCACCAGTGCTGACACCTAATTTGCACTGATGTATGCCTGTACAACTCCTCAAAAACTTGTCATCCTGGCATTTATGTATGGAGCTTTCCATCTCTTACCATTTTCTGACTGCCACCAGGTCTTCTTCCGATAACGGGCAAAGGCAGTGATGACATTCTCAATGCGATGACTGTTACGGTTGGACACAGGATCATAAGGTCGACGTGAGTCGCACACAAAACACTTTTTCTCATCCTGTTAAAGAGATGGAGCCACGTATAGGCTGTTCTCCCCATAAAAAGGGATTCGGGGGAGAATTTGATATGAAAGGAAATTTGATTTTTATTACATACAGACATACAGAGAAGCAGCTCTTAGCTTTCGTCCTGCAAAAAATTAGCCCTGCAAGGCAGAATTTCTAGTGAACAGAAGACCAATGACTGCTCCAACCCCTTTTATTTTTTTATCTTTTTGCCACAACCACATAGAGGTAGTCCTCAATTTACGACTGTAATGGAGGTTGTAGGTCAGGATGGTCATAAAGTGGATCATCAGGTGACTGATCTGATTTTACAACCTTTTGTTGTGGTGGTTAAGAAAATGCTGCAGTCAAAGAGCAACAGCATATGGTTGTTAAGTGAATCCATAGTGGTAACATGACCATGGGACACGGCAAGCAGCTGTAAATGTGGGCTGAAGGCCAAGTGCCTGGTCATGTGACCAAGAGGGGGTTGGCTATTGGAACTAGATCATCAGTACCTTTTGGAGGTCCATCGTACTTTGACCGGTTATAAGTTGAAGACTGCCTGTACAATGAAAAGGGCTGTGATCCAGTTGTCTTATGACTAAAAGAGACATAACATTTGTTATCTGATACTCACCTGCAAATGACTGACAATGCAGTAAGGCTGTGGGTGTCGCAGGCCGCAGGTAGAAGTGACAGAAAGTCGATCAGCCCTGCCTACCAGCAGATCTCCAGTGGCTGGGTAGCAGCTGCCATGGGAACAGCCATGGGGATGTTCAGGTTCCTGGCACAGCACTCCTCCCAGCACTGTGGAGACAGAAAGTGCCGAAGCAAGTATTATCTTGGAGTGATGGAGAACCTTTTCGAGACCGAGTGCCCAAATTGCAACCCAAAACCCACTTATGTATCGTCTGGTGCCGGGTGGGCATGTTCCATTGGGTGGACATGTCCCTTTGGGTGGGTGTGGCCAATTGGTGGGCATGGCTGCGGTGGTAATGGCAGACTGGGTGGGATTAAAAAGTTCAATCAATCAATTCCAACTTTACAAGATCTTTTTTTTCCCCGCAAGTTGAAATTGATTGATTGAACCTATTTTTTTTTTTTTTTTTTTTGCACACGGCAGTGGAGGCCTAAAGCGAAAAGGTTTTATAAAACCCAGCTGAAGGCCTAGGACTGGGGCTATGGTGCACGTGCACAGAGAGAGGGCTCTGCATGCCACCTGTGGCATGTGCGCCATAGGTTTGCCACCACGGGGATAGGACCTTAGGAAGCACTGAACCATTAGGAGCCAAATTACAAGCAGAGAACGAGATTAGCAGTATTTGGATTTGTTCAAAGCAAAATCTGGGTTTCAGATAGAGCAAAACAGTAGTTTTCCACCTGAAAAATTATTGGAAGATAAGCTTTGTCTACTGCATAATTATTCAAAAGGAAGTTATTGGATCAGGGCAAAATATCTGTTTAGTATTCATCAAAAAAAGAAATCTGAGATATGAAGATAAAAGTTAATTAATCAAAAAATGTTTTAGGGTATACTTGACTGCCCAAAGAATGTATTTGAAATTTTGGACATCCTTATGCTTATGAAAGAAACTTGAGGGTTCCCTGACCCATATGAAATGTGATCGTTTGCTATTATTTTAGAATTGTGTAGTAATGTATGTAAATATATTTACGGGAAAATCTCTAAGTGTTAATGATGTTGGTGTGATGTTGAACTATCTATCAAAACTTTGGCATCTGACTCTTCATCAGGAATTGTGGTTATATCAATCGCGGCAGATGGCTAAAATAATTAAACTGAGAAATTGGAATAGCGATATTAATCCAGACGTTAAGGGATTATTGTTAGTAATGTGTGATTTATGTGTGATTACGTGCGTGCAGCACAGAATAGGCAAAGCACCCTCCCTTCCTCACCAGCTGCTCCTCCTTGATTCTTTTGTCGTAAAGCCATAAGACCCAAGTGGCTTAAAAGCTTTTGAAATTAATAAACCCCAAAATAAACAACACAAGTTGAATAAAATGTGAGAATCACTAACAGAACCAACTTGCCAGCAACATTTGGCGGGGGGGGGGGAGAGATGGACTTAGGATTTGATTTCCTTTCCTTTCCTTTCCTTTCCTTTTTCCCTTCCCTTCCCTTTTTCTATATATAGGTAGTCTTCAACTTATGATCACAATTGAGCCCAACGTTGCTAAACAAGACAGTTGTTAAGTGAATCTTCACCCATTTTACGACCTTTCTGGCCACCGTTGTTAAGTGAAACACTGCAGTTGTAAAGTTTGTAACACGTTTGTTAAGTGAATCTGGGGTCTGAAATTGACTTTGCTTGTCAGAAGGTCGCAAAAGGGGATCGCATGACCCTGGGACACTGCAACTGTCATAAATATGAGTCAGCTGCCAAGCATCTGAATTTCTGTCATGTGACCATGGGGAGGCTGCAATGTTTGTAAGTGTGAAAAACATTGTAAGTCACATTTTTCAGTACCGTTGTAACTTTGAATGGTCACTAAACAAACTGTTGAAAGTTGAGAACTAGCTATAGTTGCCAATCACTGCTCTGCAGATTCCTTCCTGTTATGAGCTGAGGCAAAGTGAAGGACTGAGCTGGTTATAGCATTATACAGTTACATTATTTCACTTAACATACTATTTCACGGTTATGTAATTCCAGACCCCAACACTGTACACCTAGCAGGCTTCTGAAAGAGCTATGTCCAGCTCTTTAGGAAGCTAAAAGCAGAATGGCAGCATTCAGAAACTGACCAGAATTTACCACAAAATTGTGCCCACATTCAGCTTGAAAACCCAGGAAATGCTTGGCTCCCACTATTGAACACCTAACTTTGGCTGTGGGGTGGTGAAACCTAACAGTTTTTCCACACCATAAAGCTAGCAGTAGATGGTGTGGAAATGACGGCAAATTTTTCTTTTGATACTATAACTAAAAATAAATTGAGCTTAAAGTTGGGAGAAGATAAAGGAAACATCATGGGAACAAAGTGAAAAATTGCTACACAGGCCGTCCTCAACTTACAATCAGTCACTTAGCGACCAATGAAAGTTACAATGGACACCCCAAAAGGCACTTACAACCAAGCACCCTACTGTCTCCCCTTCAGGCACATAACTGCGTTTTGGACACTTGGCCACCGGCCTGAATTTACAGTCATTTGCACAATCCTGCAGTTATGTGACCGCGATTTACAAAGTTTTTGCCAAAAAAATGGCATTTACTTCCAGTTTTCAGCAAAAACGCCCCATAGCAAACTACGGGTTTGGTTGGTGATCATGACATTCTCTTAATGACCACCAGAAAACAAAATTGGATTAATCATGTGACAAACCACTTTACGACTATCAGGATTTATTACCATAATTGCCAGGCTCTGTTGTGGTCATAAATCAAGGACTATTGTAATCAAGAGAAGATTTTGCTGTGGTTTAGTGCAAATGGGGAGTACACCCTGGGGCACTTAAGCTAGGTTTACTGAAAGTAAAGAGACAAACGAAAAAGGCAGAACCCTTCAACAAAATTCACTAAATTTAATCAGAAAAACGTATGGCTCAATCCTCTGCATATTTACTGAGCAGTGATCTCCTGGGAGCTAAATGGAAATGATTTCCAGGTAACTATCTAAGTTATTTTTCCTGAAATCAGTGTTTTATTGGCGGCATAATACCCAAATGAAGGAAAACTCATCTCTAATGCATTCTATTTCTTACTAGGAAAGAAGTATTTTTTTCGGACTCCTGAAGAAATAGTTTATTGAAAGAATACCTGTTTTATTGTATTAATTTTTTTTACAGAGTCTGCCATTTGATTTGCTGCTTTGACTTTTTTCTTCTTTCTTGACAATATAGAGGGAGCGACTGGCAAACACTCCAGTCTTATGCATTCCATAGCACTTGGCCCCCAGTCAAGTTTTTTTTTTTTTTACTTAAATACACTAAACCACCTTCCAAACAATGTCCATCATCACATACCATCATACCAAGATGTCTTTCTCAGTCTAATGGGGGAAGAAAGTGAGAAGATGGGCCAGATCATTTTGTTCCGAACCAAAGTTTCTCACATATACAAAATTATTAAATCTGCGTATAATCACATTTTAATGAAGATTTGGACTTTAATAAAGACAGAACAGGGGTGGTCTTTGGTTTGTCTATTTATTATTCAGGTTTAAGAAATGCTTTTCAAATTATTCTCCTCCCCTGCATTTTAACTTTAGAAAGAAAGCATGATATATTCCTACAAGACTTAGGTGAATAGAAACTCTATGTCTAAAGCAGATGTGAACTGAAAAACTGTCTTGGACAAAAGTTTATAAGAGCCCCACTCAAAATTTTCTTTTAAAAAATGTAAAAAAAAATTAACGGTAATAATCCAGAGATTGGTGCAATAGTTAAGGCATCAGGCTACAAATGGGAGATAATGAATTCCAATCCCACATTAGACAGGAAGTCAGCTGAGTGACTTTGAGTCCATCATTCTCTCTCAGCTCTAGGAAGAAGGCGGCGAGGGCGAATCACTGAAATTTACAAGAAAAATGCTGGAATTAGTCCAGGCAATTTCCAGGAGTCAAAATGTGACTCGAAAGCAATACAGGAAGCTCTCATCTTACTATCACAAATGGAGCCTAAAATTTCTGTTGCTAAGCAAGACAGTTGTTAGCCGAGATGTGTGCCATTTTTACAACCTTTTTGTCACCATCTATAAGTGAATAATTATAGCTGTCAAACGAATCATGTGGTTGTTAAGTGAATTTGGCATTCCCTGATTTTGCTTGTCGGAACCCGGCTGGGAAGGTTACAAATGGTGATTATATGACCCTGGGAGAATGTAACTGTCATAAATACACATCAGTTGTCATGCATCTGACTTTCGATCATGTGACCATGGGGATACTGCAATGATCGTAAAGTGTAAAACCCGGTTATATTCTCGGCATATTTTCAGTGCCATTATAACTTCAAGCAGTCACTAAACGAATGGTTGTAAGTCAAGGACTACCTACAATCCAGAGCTGGCTTTAAACCTGGAAGGATTTCAATTTGGTGTGGGTTTGAATCACATTCCCCATCTGTTAAATGTGTCTGACCCATCGTGACCCCATGGAGAACGTTCCTCCAGGTCTTCCTGTCCTCTACCATCTTCTGGAGTCCATTTAAGCTCACGCCTACTGCTTCAGTGACTCCATCCAGCCATCTCATTCTCTGTCGTCCCTTTTTCTATTGCCCTCAATCTTTCCCAGCATCAGGCTCTTCTCCAGTGAGTCCTTCCTTCTCATTAGGTGGCCAAAGTATTTGAGTTTCAACTTCAATCTTGTCATCTCTTGTTTGACCACGTCCAGCTTGCCTTGATTCATGGATCTTACATTCCAGGCTCCTATGGAGAAAAATTCTTTACAGCATCGGACTTTCCTTTCACCACTAGATGCATCCACAGTTGAGCGTCCTTTCGGCTTTGGCTCAGTCGGTTCACTCTTTCTGGTGCTACTAGTACTAGCCCTCTGCTCTTCCCCAGTAGCATATTGGACACCTTCCGACCTGAGGGGCTCATCTTCCAGCATCATATCTTTTTGCCTTTTGGTACTGTCCATGGGGTTTTCATGGCAAAAATACTGGAGTGGGTTGCCATTTCCTTCTCCAGTGGATCATATTTTGTCAGAACTCTCTGCTATGACCTGTCCGTCTTGGGTGGCCCTGCACGGCATAGCTCATAGCTTCATTGAGTTACACAAGCCCCGTCGCCACAACAAGGCAGTAATCCATGAAGGAGAAAGCTCAAGGCTATTTGATGTTATAGTGAGAAACTGGAGGACAGATTCTAACACACTCTGCAAATGTAAGAACGGGCAGCGGCTTTTTGTCATCACGGTTCTCTATCTATCTATGCCAGTGATGGCGAACCTTTTAGAGACCAAGTGCCCAAACTGCAACCCAAAATCCACTTATGCCTCGTTGGGTGCCGGGTGTGGCCAATTGGGTGGGTGTTGCCCATTGGGTGGGCATGGCTGCGGTGGTAACGGCAGACTGGGTGAGACTAAAAAGTTCAATCAATCAATTCCAACTTTGCAAGATCTTTTTTTTCCCCACGAGAAGTTGAAATTGACTGATTGAACCTTTTTTTTTTTGCACATGGTGGCGGAGGCCTAAAGCGAAAAGGTTTTATAAAACCCAGCTGAAGGCCTAGGACTGGGGCGATGGCGTGCGTGCCCATAGAGAGGGCTCTGAGTGCCGTCTCTGGCACTCGTGCCATAGGTTCGCCACTATTGATCTACACTCTGCCCCAGAGAGCTGCTGGTTCAGTGATGCAGGCACAATTCACACTGTTGGCCCCAAAGAATCCTAGCAGATCTTTCAGCTCAAATTGGGCTTCCTTCTTCCTCCAGATTCTTCATCCTAATTCTTCCACCTGTTTCTGTGGCTCATGCAAGGGTGGGGCTGGAAAAGAGAAATGTCAAAGCTGCCCTCCCCTCCCTTTCCTTTAGGCCTGAGAGCGGAAGCTGCAGCACTGCCAGAAATAACCCTAGCGGGGATTGGCTCTGTTGTTCGGCCAGCCTGGCCTTGCGCCAGGGATGTGGGGGCTGAGAGTTGAATTTGTGAACGATGGCTGAGTTTCAGAGAACATCTCCTCTTGAGAGGCTGTGGCGGGGAGGCGATGGCACAACCTCAAGAAGGGATTACAGTCGTGTAAGTCGGGGTCCTGCTGGATGCCTCAGCCAGGATTTTCTGTCCACCTTACCCAAGCTTTGACTGCAGGATGGCATGCAAAGCATTCTTCCATCCACCTGCTTCTTCTGTAGGGACGCCTACAGCTGCCAGGGAGATACGACAACTGGGAGCCTTCAATCTCCCCACCGCCCTCTTGCATTTCGTTGCTGCTTCCAGGCAGCTGGCCAGTTCCCTGAGCCTCAAATCCTCTGGAGCCAAAACTTCAAAGGGAATTGGGAACAAAGGCTCCAGCTGGTGGAAATGGGTGTGCAGCTTCCCCACAACCAAGGTTGGTTAGAAATCAGGCAGGCACAGACCACACACTCCATCTACTCCAAAGGCATTAGGAAAAAAAGATACGGGGAGATTGGAGGTTAACGGGGTCAACAAATAGAAACAGTTAACAGATAGACTCGCGTGATTATTTAATGGATTACAACTGGATTACAACTAGCATAGCTATTCTGGAAGTCGAAATCTTTACTTGAGAAAGGCACCACAGTTAGAGAAGTCTCCATAAACTCAAATTCACAAGTATAAAACTCTGATCCCATTGATAAGAACGCACCACAAATTAGACTCTCCCTTTTATTAATACGAGAACTGAATCCAGGAGATTCAGGAGTAAAAATCCACATGGTAAGGGGAGGCTTCCTCCCTGCTCCTATGACAGACAGTGCTTCTTGGCATTTATTTTCACAGAGGATGTGATCCAAGCCCTTTGGCTCTCAGGAACAGCATCTCCAGTCGGGCACTTATTTCAGTATCTCCTTCACTCCCTGAGAGTTTCTCCTGCACAAACACTCATAGGGCTGAGCTGCTGATTATTGGAGCAGAGGGGGAAAAAAATCAGGCGGTCGGGCTTTCTGTATCACAGCACACGGAAAGAGCCACTTGTTGATTTTCTGCCCTTTGCGCGGTGTGAAAGCAGGTCAGCCTGTTCAGAATAAAAGTGGCAGTCCCAACCCAGAACATTAAATCCCAGCCTTCGCTCAGAACAATGGTTCTCAACTTGTGGGTCCGCAGAGCTCTGTGGGGGCGCAATGTCATCACAGAGGGCTTGAAGAAATGCTATGATTTAAATCTTGAGTTAAGTCTTGGAGATCCCTGGCTATGGTATTTAAAGGGGGGCTGTAGTGTAGTGAAGAAAAGGTTGAGAACCACTGACTTAGAAGTTGGGACTCCCCCCATCCTCATTCATCCCCAAAATTGAGGGATCACTCCTTTATTGGCAGCCTTACCCCACCCCATACACACACATACGCGCGCACGCACGCACGCACACACACACACACACACACACAAATTCGGAGCAGACTGCTTCACCTAAACCCCTCAAACTAGACTGACAACCCTTTGCTGCGCCTTTCAGTGGACAGGAGGAAGGAGGTGCTTATGAGGCTGAAAGGGATGACCGGGAGCTCCCTGCTCTCTCCAAGACCCCCTCAGCTCTACTCAGCGTGGCCTGGTACCCCAGGAAAGAAAAACAAAACCCCAAATTACGCTTGCACCCCTGCGCTTTCGCCTCCTCTCCTTCCTCTCTAGTTAGATTGCACGCTCCTCTCCTCAAGGGTAACCAACGCTTCCCGCCAATTAGGCATGTCCGGCGGCAGGTCCCCCCCATCTCCGACTGAGAGCGGAGATGGACGCGAGGAAGACTCACCTGCCAGGAGGAAACCCCACGCTCTGATGCCCGAAGCCGCCGGCCTGAAGGGAGCCATGGCGAGGAGAGCTGATCCACAGGCGGCAGCCAAAAGATGCTGCTAGGAAGGGGGACCTGAGGCGGAGATCCCAAAGACAGGGCAGGGCAGGGTGGCCCAGCCTTTCGCTTCGCCCAGGCCGCGCCTCTGACTCGGGACTTCGCAAACTGGCCCGGGTCACTCTTTTCTTCCTCGTCCCACCAGCAGCCGCTGCCCGCCAGGCGCTCACCTACCCCGCGCTGCGGGGAAATAAAATAGCAGCTCGCCTCACGCCGGCGTCACGGCTGCTCCAAACATTAAACTTAGTCGGAAAAAGTTAGCAACAGGGCCGAAGGAAAAGCGCGGGCCGGATTCTGCTGGGATCTGATGGTGCCCGAAAGCGCAAAACAGGCCCGCGCCCATTTGCAAACTCGGTCTGCACCGTCCTAAGTTTGGAAAACTCTGCCGGGACCCCCGATGGTTTGTTTATTTGTTGGCTGCGTTCCAGGGGAGCTGTTTAAGCCATTTGCGTCTAAAATATTTATTTTAAGTTCAGTGGCAGGGTCTACAACAATTATTTTAAAAAGCAAGACAGCTTTGCCGATTTATAATCTTTTTTTCTCCCCAGCTTTTCAAACAGAAGACGTCATCCTTACAATTGTCCTGAGAAGCAAGCTGGATTCTGAGGTGCCAATTATTATTCGCATCTCCAAAACGTGACCCTTGCTTAGTAAATTGTCAGGCCAGGAGGGTTTTATTCCAGAAGATCCGGGGTGCTCATATGATTATATCTGAACACTTGGGGCAGCAATTTTCAATTCAGCGTTTTAAAGTGATTTATGACAATCTGTTATTAGCCCTTCTGCTTAGTTATGATAAAGTGGTGTTTGTAAGGATTAATAAATGCAGCTCAAATGGATTAGTGTGATATTGGCATATCCTGAAGATGCAAGTTTTGAAAAGTTGGAATGTGCTCTTTGCTGCTTGGTAAAATGTTTGCTTGGTTAAGAAAATACAGATAGGGAGCAGGTTGAAGAATAGCCAAGTCTTCTCTGGTTTCTTGGCTTGTGGCAGGCATTGTACAAACACAAAAGGATTTCTCTAAACATAACAAGATAAACTTGTGGCAGTTCAAAAACTAACACATTTATTCTGATGTGGGCTTTCATGGATTACATTAGTTTCAAAAGCTCATTCACAATAAATAAATCAGTATTTAAAGTACTGTATTTTTTTTTGCAACAGATTAATAGCCACTCTTAAAAGTCATGCTACATCAACCAGTTGTGCTGGCCACTAGATAGTTTTAAAGGAGGGCTGATCGGTTTGTTGCTTCTGTGACATGATTCCATGTTTGCGGCATTGCCACTGAAACTGGAATTTAACCACAGATAGACTATATTGGTGCAGAGGTTAGAATGCAGTATTGCAAACTAACTCTGCCCACTGCCAGGAGTTTGATCCTGTCCCGCTCAAGATTGACTCAGTTTTCCATCCTTCTGAGATCAGTAATATGAGGACCCAGTTTGTTGGGGGCAGTATGCTGACTCTGCAAATAGCTTAGAGAGTGCTGTAAAACACTATGAAGTAGTGCTTCATAGTATATATATAAGTCTAGATCAGTGGTTCTCAACCTTTTTAATGCCACAACCCCAAACCGGTCATAAGTCGAGGACTACTCCACCGATCGTAAGTCGAGGACTAAACCGGTCGTAAGTCAAGGACTACCCAACCGGTCGTAAGTCAAGGACTTTCCCTGCCCAGGAGCGCCGTGCATGCGTGGTGCTGCCCCCTTCGCCGGCCGAGGCATAGCTGGCAAGCGGCAGAGACGGAGCGGGGCGACCACCGGCTGGGCCACCAGCTGACCCAACCCAAGGGAGGTAAGACACCTGCCGGGACCCACGCGCGCCAGCAACCCTCCCTGCGCCCGCCGGCCTCCCACCTCCCACCCCTGGCCCTCTTTTACTTACAGTTTTAGTAGTTGCTCAGCAGGGAGGGGTGGAAACTTCCAGACAGCTCGCCTTCGCTGCAGACAACTTGCAGCACCGTTTGCAGAATGGGACTTTTGGCGGGCTCAGCAGGGCAGAGACAGCCTGGACAATTCCTATTGGCTTTTGAAAGCCAATAGAATTAGACTCTATTCTAGATGCTATTGCTATTGCTATATTCTTTGACAATCAGTCTGTATTTTTGGTAAGAAAAACATTCTTCACATGGATTCCACATGAATTAAGTGCGAAATGTCTGCGTGCACTCAAATCTTCCAGGAGTTACACTCCCCATTGCTGAGCAGAAGTGCTACACTATGTATCCATCCTTAAGATGGTAGAAAACTATCCAACATAACATTTTGGGACTCCATTGCCAATCCCTCCGTATTTCTACTGCATTTCATGTCATGATGTGAGGACAAAGTTAGGGCAAAGTCATAGTGACATGACAGAAAAAATAATTTAATTTAATTTAATGAATTGATAAGGTTGCCCAGTCTGGACACTGAGTTTCCAAGTGGTGCATAGAACATTAGAAAATAAAATGAGAATTCTGTTAAAATCCAAACAACCAGGAAATCCTAATTCTGTCCCTTTCTCGATGGAAAACCCAATAATCTCAGCCATAAAATCTGAAGGAAAAGTCAAGTGTTTAACTGCCTTTCTGAAGGCCAACGAGGCTGGGGCCAGCTCTATCCCTGAGGAGATTTGGAATGATTAGCTGACAGCACAGCAGAAAATTCATTTCTCTTGGGTACCATCAGATGGGATTGTTTCAGGAAGAGATCTAAAGCATGGCCATTCAAGCATGTAGGACAGACATACCTTTGGCAACAGGCAGTCCCACAAATAACCCTATGTCAGGGAGAGCCTTCTAGATGATAACAACACCTTGAATTTCACCTGGAAGATAATGGGAAGCCAATGCAGCCCGCAAAATAGTAGTGTTACATAAGCCTACTGAAGTGTGTCCACCACAGATGTTAAGACACCCTCTTTGGACCCAACTTTTGTCCTGTCTCCACCACCGGCCCCTCCCTCTTAAGGAAGGTTATTTAGAGAGCCACGATGGAAGCAAATTATCTGACCCTTTTCAGTCAGGGTTCAGTTCCATTTAGTGTACTAACGTGGCCTTGGTTGTTCTTGAGGATGACCTCTGGAGGGCCCCAGAGAGGGGTAATGCATCTGCCCTGGCCCTCCTGGATCTCTCAGTAGCATTTGATTCTGCTGAACCAGTGTTCAACTGGACTGACTGGGGATGGAGGGAGGGTATTATTTCGCAAGGGTTCTCCTTTCTCTGTGGCAAGTTTCGTGTGGCACTGGGTGTGGGTAAGAAGTTAAACCCTTGGTGACTGCAATGAGGGGTTCCTCAGAGCTCTGATTTTTTGCCCCTCTTTGTTGACATTTAAACATTTTCTACAATGCTCTCCACACAGAGATCCCCTTGAAGACAATCCAGAAATCACAAGTGGTTGAGAATGCAGTGGTGTGTGCAGTTTTGGGCACCAAAAGGTGGTTCATGTTGTGTTACTACTGCATGATCTGCCCTGCCTTCCAGTTCTTTTCCAGGTGCAATTCAGTGGGCTAGTTATCATCTTTAAAGCCCTGAATGGCATGTGGCCAAGTTAGTTGTGGGATGGCCTCTCCCTGAGTGTATCTGCCTGCTCCAAACCAGATCCAATAGTGCGGGCATTCTCTGTGTCCTTTCTCTTAACTGGGAAGAGGGACCTGTGGTAAGCCTTCTTGGTAGCTACCACTAACTTTTGGAGCGCCCTTCTCCCTGAGATCTGGAGGGCCCTACCTTCCTAGTTTTTGGGAAAACTTTTTCCCACAAGCGTTGGGATAATGTGTTGGCTGGAGCCCAAGCAAGTAGAATAGAATAGAATAGAATAGAATAGAATAGAATAGAATAGAATAGAATAGAATAGAATCTGGAAGGGACCTTGGAGGTCTTCTAGTCCAGCCCCTTGCTCAAGCAGGAGAACCTATACCATCTCAGACAGGTGATTGTCCAGTCTTTTCTTAAAAATTTCCAGTGATAGAGTGCCCATGATTTCTGGGGGTAAACTGTTCCACTGGTTGATTGTTCTCACTGTCAGGAAGTTTCTCAATTCCAGGTTTATTTTATTTTATTTTATTTTAAAAATTTATAAACCGCCCCACTCCCGCAGGACTCTGGGCGGCTAACAATAAAAACAACATAAAACATGACAAAACAAACAGTACAATAACAGTCATCCAGGGGTCAGATTTTATAAACCCCAGGCCTGCTGGAAAAGCCAGGTCTTAAGCAGCTTACAGAAAACCAACAGGATGGGAACGGTCCTAATCTCCGGGGGGAGCTGGTTCCAAGACGTGGGCGCCATCACAGAGAAAGCCCTCCTCCGCGGCCCTGCCAAATGGCACTGCTTGGCCGACGGGACCCGAAGGAGGCCCAGCCTGTGGGATCTAACTGGACGAAGGGAACTATGAGGTAGTAGGCGGTCTCGCAAATAGCCTGGCCCTGAGCCATTTAGGGCTTTAAAGGTGATAACCAACACCTTGAATTGGACCCGGAGACCAATAGGCAACCAGTGCAGCTCACGGAGGATAGGTGTAACGTGGGTGTATCGACCAACTGTAGTCTCCGAATACTTTTCAAGGGTAGCCCCATGTAGAGCGCGTTGCAGTAGTCCAAATGTGAGGTGACAAGGGCATGAGTGACTGTAAGGAGAGCCTCCCGGTCCAGGTAGGGTCGCAACTGGTGCAACAGACGAACTTGTGCAAAGGTCCTCCCAGCCACAGCCGTCAAATGATGTTCCAAATTCAGCTGTGGATCAAGGAGGACACCCAAGTTGCGAACCCGCTCCAAAGGGGGTATATTTTCCCCCGCAAGAGTCAACACTGGACAGTCGACATGATCCTTGGGAGGCAACATCCAAAGCCACTCGGTCTTGTCAGGATTGAGCCTGAGTCTGTTAACCCCCATCCAGACCCTCACGGCTTCAAGGCAACGGCCCATCACATCAGCCGCTTCACTGAGAGAGCTCGGGGAGGAGATATATAGCTGGGTATCATCAGCATACTGATGAAACCTCACCCTGTGCTGTCTGATGATCTCACCCAGCGGCTTCATGTAAATGTTAAATAGGAGGGGGGAGAGGACTGACCCCTGCGGCACGCCGCATTCAAGGGGCCTCGGGGTTGACCTCTGCCCTCCCACCAATACCGATTGCGACTGGCCAGAGAGGTAGGAGAACCACCGTAAAACGGTGCCTCCCACTCCCACCCCTTCAAGTCGTTGCAAAAGGATACCATGATCGATGGTATCAAAAGCCGCTGAGAGGTCAAGTAGCACCAAGACAGAGGAATAACCCCTGTCTCGGGCCTGCCAGAGATCATCCATCAGCGCTACCAAAGCAGTTTCAGGTTGCTTCTCTCTTGGATCAGCTTCCAACCATTGTTTCTCGTCCTTCCCTCTGGTGCTCTGGTGAATAACCTGACCCCCTCTGCCTTGTGGCAGCCCATCAGATACTGGAATACTACTATCATGTCTCCCCTATTTCTTCTTTTCTTTAGACTAGCCAAATCCAAGTTCTGCAGCCATTCTTCGTACGTTTTGGTCTCCAGGACTTTGATCATC